GTGATAAAATAAGTATACGTTATATCAGTGATAAAATAAGTATACGTTATATCAGTGATAAAATAAGTATATGTTATATCAGTGATAAAATAAGTATACGTTATATCAGTGATAAAATAAGTCTACACTATATCAGTGATAAAAATAAGTATACGCTATATCAGTTATAAAAATAAGTATACGTTATATCTGTGATAAAATAAGTATACGTTATATCAGTGATAAAATAAGTATACGTTATATCAGTGATAAAATAAGTATACGTTATATCAGTGATAAAATAAGTAGGATCTCTACAGGTGTGTCAGTTATTTAAGAAATAACTAGGATTCTATTTGTAGGTTATGCGATATATAGTGAAAATACTCTGTGCGATTTGTATAAATCCGCGAAGCAGGTTTTTTTTTTTTTTTTGTATAAACTGTATGACACAAAACATAATAGTTGTTATCACTTATCATTGAAATCATTGAAAAAAGATAGACAACACTTGTAAGGTCATTGTTAATCAATAAAATTAATCATCTCTGATAAAAAATAAAAATAAACTTCAAACGAAACACTACATTGGGCTATAATTTCAGCGACGAACCATTTCAACCAATCAGAGGTTAGAGTTATAAATATCGAGCCAAACATATACTTTGTCTGTTGTCTTTTTTAGGTTACATGATAAAACCTGAAAAGCATTAAAACGGGGGAATAGCCAGAATTAAACATGGACACAATACATGTACATGTGTGTCGGTTATATAGAGGATAATGAACTGTTTCCATGGCAGAATATATTTATTTTTCGCGTGTGCGAAGCACGACTGAAAATATCGGTATGTTCTTCCATAGGCGTGAAATACATATGGTATTAAACGGGCAAATCTTTATCAAATGACGTCATGCTTTACATCAAGACTTCGCGAATTTGTGCTACTTAGGACGATATACCATATATTGCTAATATTTGATAAGATTTGCTGACATAAATCTATCGGTTGTATATAATATTAATTGATAACTAAGGACACTCAACAAATACCGCTATCTATATCTGAAAAGAAAATCTGCGATTTCAAAACAAGTGAATAGAAAGAACCGTTCTGATTGGATAAAGTACAACAGTAGCAATGTCTGTACGGGTGTGTCAGTTACAGCAATGTCTGTACAGGTGTGTCAGTTACAGCAATGTCTGAACAGGTGTGTCAGTTACAGAAATGTCCGTACAGGTGTGTCAGTTACAGCAATGCCTGTACAGGTGTGTCAGTTATAGCAATGTTTGAACAGGTGTGTCAGTTAAAGCTATGTCTGAACAGGTGTGTCAGTTATAGCAATGTATGTACAGGTGTGTCAGTTATAGCAATGTCTGTACAGGTGTGTCAGTTACAGCAATGTCTGATCAGGTGTGTCAGTTATAGAAATGTCTGTACAGGTGTCTCAGCTATAGAAATGTCTGTACAGGTGTGTCAGTTATAGCAATGTCTATACAGGTGTGTCAGTTATAGCAATGTCTGTACAGGTGTGTACGTTATAGCAATGTATGTACAGGTGTGTCAGCTATATATACTTCTGTACATGTGTGTCAGTTATAGAAATGTTTGAACAGGTGTGTCAGTTATAGCAATGTCTGTACAGGTGTGTCAGTTATAGCAATGTCTATACAGGTGTGTCAGTTATAGAAATGTCTGTACAGGTGTGTCAGTTATAGAAATGTCTATACAGGTGTGTCAGTTATAGCAATGTCTGTACAGGTGTGTCAGTTATAGAAATGTCTGTACAGGTGTGTCAGTTATAGAAATGTCTATACAGGTGTGTCAGTTATAGCAATGTCTGTACAGGTGTGTCAGTTATAGCAATGTATGTACAGGTGTGTCAGCTATGTATATGTCTGTACAGGTGTGTCAGTTATAGAAATGTCTATACAGGTGTGTCAGTTATAGCAATGTCTATACAGGTGTGTCAGTTATAATACAATGTCTGTACAGGTGTGTCAGTTATCACAATGTCTATACAGGTGTGTCAGTTATAACACAATGTCTGTACATGTGTGTCAGTTATAACACAATGTCTGTACATGTGTTTCAGTTATAGAAATGTCTGTACAGGTGTGCCAGTTATAACAATGTCTATACAGGTGTGTCAGTTATCACAATGTCTATACAGGTGTGTCAGTTATAACACAATGTCTGTACATGTGTGTCAGTTATAACACAATGTCTGTACATGTGTTTCAGTTATAGAAATGTCTGTACAGGTGTGCCAGTTATAACAATGTCTATACAGGTGTATCAGTTATCACAATGTCTATACAGGTGTGTCAGTTATAACACAATGTCTGTACATGTGTGTCAGTTATAACACAATGTCTGTACAGGTGTGTCAGTTATAACACAATGTATGTACAGGTGTGACAGTTATAGAAATGTCTGTACAGGTGTGTCAGTTATAGAAATGTCTGTACATGTGTGTCAGTTATAGAAATGTCTATACAGGTGTGTCAGTTATAACACAATGTCTGTACAGATGTGTCAGTTATAGAAATGTCTGTACAGGTGTGTCAGTTATAGAAAAGTCTGTACAGGTGTGTCAGCTATAGAAATGTTTGCACAGGTGTGTCAGTTATAGCAATGTCGATACAGGTGTGTCAGTTATAGCAATGTCTATACAGGTGTGTCAGTTATAGAAATGTCTATACCTGTGTGTCAGTTAGAGCAATGTATGTACAAGTGTGGCAGTTATAGCAATGTCTGTACAGGTGTGTCAGTTATAGCAATGTCTATACATGTGTGTCAGTTATAGCAATGTCTGTACATGTGTGTCAGTTATAACAAAATGTCTGTACAGGAGAATCAGTTATAACACAATGTCTGTACATGGGTGTCAGTTATAACACAATGTCTGTACATGTGTATCAGTTATAACACAATGTCTATAAAGATGTGTCAGTTATAACAATGTCTGTACAGGTGGGTCATTTATAGACATGTCTGTACAGGTGTCTCAGTTATAACACAATGTCTGTACATGGGTGTCAGTTATAACACAATGTCTGTACAGGGGTATCAGTTATAACACAATGTCTGTAAAGATGTGTCAGTTATAACAATGTCTGTACAGGTGGGTCATTTATAGACATGTCTGTACAGGTGTCTCAGTTATAACACAATGTCTGTACATGTGTGTCAGTTATAACAAAATGTCTGTACAGGAGAATCAGTTATAACACAATGTCTGTACATGTGTGTCAGTTATAAGAATGGCTGTACAGGTGTTCCAGTTATAACAATGTCTGTACAGGTGTGTCAGTTACAGCAATGTCTGTACAGGTGTGTCAGTTATACCACAATGTCTGTACAGGTGTGTCAGTTACAGCAATGTCTGTACAGGTGTGTCAGTTACAGCAATGTCTGATCAGGTGTGTCAGTTATAGAAATGTCTATACCGGTGTGTCAGTTATAGAAATGTCTATACAGGTGTGTCAGTTATAACACAATGTCTGTACAGGTGTATCAGTTATAACACAATGTCTGTAAAGATGTGTCAGTTATAACAATGTCTGTACAGGTGTGTCATTTATAGACATGTCTGTACAGGTGTGTCAGTTATAACACAATGTCTGTACAGGTGTGTCAGTTATACCACAATGTCTGTACATATGTGTCAGTTATAACACAATATCTGTACATCTGTGTCAGTTATAAAACAATATATGTACAGGTGTGTCAATTATAATACAATGTCTGTACATGTGTGTCAGTTATAAGAATGGCTGTACAGGTGTTCCAGTTATAACAATGTCTGTACAGGTGTGCCAGTTATAATAATGTCTGTACAGATGTGCCAGTTAAAGCAATGTCTATACAGGTGTGTCAGTTATAACAATGTCTGTACAGATTTGTCAGTTATATAAATGTCTCTACGGGTTTGTCAGTTATAACAATGTTTGTACATGTGTTTCAGTTATAACAATATCTGTAAAGGTGTGTCAGTTATAACAATATCTGTACATGTGTGTCAGTTATAGAAATGTCTATACAGGTGTGTCAGTTATAGCAATGTCTGTACAAGTGTGTAAGTAATAAAACAATAAATGTACAGGTGTTTTAGTTAGTGTAATGTCTGTATAGGTGTGACATTTATAACACAATATATATACAGTTGAATCAGTTATAGAAATGTCTGTACATGTGTGTCAGTTATAGCAATGTCTGTACAGGTGTGTCAGTTATGACACAATATATGTTTAGGTATTTTAGTAATGTCTGTACAGGTGTGATATTTATAACTCACTATATGTACAGTTGTGTAAGTTCTATACGGTCTAAACAATAACTAAAGTATCATGTACTGAGTCGTCTGTGTATGTGTAGTGTATGCTACAGTATGTTTGCCACACAACTCCGACAGAACACCGACATCCGTCATTGAGACGAAGCCCGTACTGTTGGAGTCATGTAACTGTGGCGACATATATGATGTACGCCACATGGGAGATAACTTGACCTCTTTGCTATGACTACAATCAACTAACTAAATTTTCAACACTTTTACTTATATAAACACATTAAATATTGTAAGAATTAATTTATTTATGTATAATATGAGTGGAAATATTAATATATTTTTTAATGAAAAGAACATATATCTGTCATTTATTGATATTTGATATTTTACTGAAGTTATATATTTTTTGCAGTCATATTGTATAGAATGATAATGATACAATAATAATGAAATTTCTAAGACAGTCTATTTGTGAACGGGTTATTGTAGTTTCGTTTCAATACAGAAACCACGCGTATGAGTGGGTTTAAGCTCATCGTATCCAATTCATCAAATGACTGGGGAGGTGGCTCTGGTACTCTTTGCCACGAGGAAACCCGACCTGATCCTCCCTACATACAGGCCATCGAATGTTTCGTCGTCGGACGTTACGTCACTTACCACGATCCTACCACGGCGACAGGTGACCCAGGCCCTATCATTGAGCTCTGCGAACTGGAGGCGTTTGGTAAGATTCTAAATTGTAACGCTTCTCAGTCACAGTTACCGCACAGGGGAGCAAAAGCAGTATGAATTATTATAACACAACTCGGGAATATTTACCGTACTAGGAGTATTAGCACTTTGTAATATAATACTATTCAGGAATATTTATCGTACTAGGAGTATTAGCACTTTGTAATAAAATAGTAGGAACATTACCAGTATGTTATATAATATAAGGAACATAAGCACTCTGCCATATAATACTAGGAACATTAACACTAAGTAATATAATACTAGGAACATTATTAACACTATGACTTACATAGTATAATACTACATGCTATTAGCATTAACAGTATGTAAAAGAAAGAGATTGGGTAACAATAACGAACAATGAACTTAATATGATACAATATAACGCTAACACAATATTTTGCAATATACATGTATCGCTAGTAAGGAACACTTACCCTACACCGTAAATATAACACAATGCTACCAAGGAACACTTACTCTACACCGTAAATATAAAACAGTGCTACTCAGGAACACTTACCGTACACCGTAAATATATCAAAATGCATCTCAGGAACACTTACCGTACACCGAAAATATATCACAATGCTTCTCAGGAACACTTACCGTACACCGTAAATATAATACAGTGCTACTCAGGAACACTTACCGTACACCGTAAATATAATACAGTGCTACTCAGGAACACTTACGGTACACCAAAAATATATCACAATGCTTCTCAGGAACCCTTAACCTACACCGTAAATATAACACAATGCTACTCAGGAACACTAACCTACACCGTAAATATATCACAATGCTTCTCTGGAACACTTACGGTATACCGAAAATATGATACAGTGCTACTCAGGAACTCTTACTGTACACCGTAAATATAATACAGTGCTACTCAGGAACACTTACGGTACACCGAAAATGTGATACAGTGCTACTCAGGAACACTTACGGTACACCGAAAATATGATACAGTGCTACTCAGGAACACTTACCGTACACCGTAAATATGATACAGTGCTACTCAGAAACACTTACCGTACACCGTAAATATATCACAATGCTACTCAGGAACACTTACCGTACACTAAGAAAAATATGATACAGTGCTACTCAGGAACACTTACCGTACACCGTAAATATCACACAATGCTACTCAGGAACACTTACTGTACACCGTAAATATGATACAGTTATACTCAGGAACACTTACCGTACACCGTAAATATAATACAATGCTACTCAGGAACACTTACCGTACACCGTAAATATGATACATTATACTCAGGAACACTTAACGTACACCGTAAATATAATACAATGCTACTCAGGAACACTTACCGTACACCGTAAATATAACACAATGCTACTCAGGAACACTTACTGTATACCGTAAATATGATACAGTTATACTCAGGAATACTTACCGTACACCGTAAATATAATACAATGCTATTCAGGAACGCTTACCGTACACCGTAAATATGATACAGTTCTACTCAGGAACACTTACCGTACACCGTAACTATGATACAGTGCTACTCAGGAACACTTACCGTACACCGAAAATATAACACAATGCTACTCAGGAACACTTACTGTATACTGTAAATATGATACAGTTATACTCAGGAATACTTCCCGTACACCGTAAATATAATACAATGCTACTCAGGAACACTTACTGTACACCGTAAATATGATACAGTTATACTCAGGAACACTTACCGTACACCGTAAATATGATACAGTTCTACTCAGGAACACTTACCGTACACCGTAAATATAATACAGTGCTACTCAGCAACACTTACCGTACACCGTAAATATATCAAAATGCTACACAGGAACACTTACGGTATACAGTAAATATTATACAATGCTACTCAGGAACACTTACCGTATACCGTAAATATGATACAGTTATACTCAGGAACACTTACCGTACACCGTAAATATAACACAATGCTACTCAGGAACACTTACTGTACACCGTAAATATGATACAGTTATACTCAGGAACATTTGCCGTACACCGTAAATATAATACAATGCTACTCAGGAACACTTACCGTACACTGAAAATATGATACAATAGTACTCAGGAACACTTACCGTACACCGTAAATATAATACAGTGCTACTCAGCAACACTTACCGTACACCGTAAACATATCAAAATGCTACCCAGGAACACTTACGGTATACAGTAAATATTATACAATGCTACTCAGGAACACTTACGGTATACCGTAAATATAACACAATGCTACTCGGGAACACTTACTGTGCACCGTAAATATAATACAATGCTGTACTCAGAAACACATACCGTAGCCGAATATAAACGTAATTAATTTAATATAAATCTATTCAATAACACTATCATATTCGAAACATTTGCAAATTGTTTTCGTTTAGATACCATTTGATCTTACCTTTTATTCTAATATCAAGGTTGTGCTAACGGATATTACGGTCCGGCTTGTAATGTTTCCTGTATGGAAGGCTGTGAGGCTGGTATATGCTATCCGGACAATGGAACCTGTGTATATGGATGTAAACCAACCTGGATGGGTGACAAGTGTGATCAAGGTAAACTTTTGTTAATATAATCTCTCAAATCAGCTGTTTTTATTGCTAAACAGTAAGTGTTTATGCGTGTCCTTGTCACCTTCTCCTGTCCTCTTTATCTGACAAAACTGTTTGACCAATCAGATTCTGTGTTATGAATGTGACAAGGTACATGCCGTACTCGTCATCGAAACGTCACGCATAAACGCTTACCGGTAGTGATACAAAACTTTTCTACAATTCATTCTTACCAACCTGACGAAAATATTTACAAATAGTTGTAATTGGTGACCAAGTGTTTCTGTCTGTGTCTAAAGAGAGGTAAGATACAATAACTGATGATTCTTTTTGTGAAACAATATTCGTAGCCCGTCAGATTTTCCTTTTTTTAAATGATCGGTTTAATATAACGGAATAGTATCATATTTCATTTTAAATGGTGAATACCAAGCCTGTGTCAGTGTTCAGTATATATAAGACTGTTTAATTGTCATAGTGATCCACGTATGTTTATCAAACAACGCATATCTTTTTTCTCTTTAAGCGTGTTTTAGCGATACATGGGGCGCCACGTGTAACGAGACATGTTTCTGCGACACAGGCACGTGCAACGTATCTACAGGAGCATGTCAAGAAGATAAATGCCGACCTGGATGGCGGGGAATAAATTGCAATGAACGTAAATATGACAAAGTATCCATGTAATTTGTGTGTGAAAGAGAAAACAATTATGTAGACGGATATCCGGGCATCCTTACAAAGCAAGCATTACAATAACTTAAATACAAATAGAATTTCCATTATTGTTGAAAAGAAAAACAATCCGCTACGTTTTCTTTTAAATAGAAGGTTCCCCATACCACTGCTAAAACTTCTTAAACTTATAACTATTACTTGGAAATAGTTTTCCGGTATGACTCCAGCTTTAATGTATATCATTTCTGAAAAGAAAACGATTTCTTGCAAGAGTTTTATAAAAAGAAAAGAAAAATAAAGATGAAAGAAAGGAAAAGATAAAGACAGCCGTGTACAGAGTGTAAGGATACAACAGGACTAGACCAGGTTTCGAACCCCGGACCTCAGGTCATTATATTGTTACTCTTACAATATACTGGCCCTGTTGCGCTACAGTTGTATCGAAAATATGAACTAAGAGGCGCGCGGGGGAGGGGGTCGAGGTTACTGTAAATACGAAAAACTGCATGGGGGATGGTTACTGTAAATAGGAAAAACTGCATGGGGGATTTGTTTGCAAGCGGTGGTGGGGCAGGAATCCTTAATATTTACAACAGTGGCATTGGCCTTAAATCTTACACTTCTTCATAGGTTTTTTATATTAATTTTCAAGATGGCGATGACATTATTTTGTTATAGCTAAAAACTTATGAAATCATGGATAATGCACTTTCCATTGCGACGTCACAGTTAGACATATTCTATATAAGTAACAACCACAAGTCACCATGTTTCATGTCTCTATTTCAGCGTGTGATCTGTGGACTTTTGGTCCGTCTTGCAATCTTACTTGCAATTGTCTCAACGAGGCGCTTTGTAATCCAGAGACCGGGATATGTCCGGACGGCTTATGCATGGAAGGCTGGAAGCCGAATACTTGTCACGAAGGTTTGAATGATGAGAAATATTTGCCATAGAAACAGTTTTAGAAAGTTGCATATTTTTCAGCGTTGGTGGCGACTCAGTCATATTTTTTTCGCAATTATCAGATATAATTGTTTACTTAATTAATTAAAATGTTTAAAGATGAGTCGTTAGTAGCACACAGAAAATAACGACGTAATAAAGGTTAAAAGTCAAAGTTCAAATCCTCGAATTAACATAAATTGCCGTCCGCTACACAAGGATCTGAAAATTACATACTCGTATATGTCTTCGTATGACGTTGGCTGTGAATGATGTAAAACCTTAGACACACAGCTTATTTTGTCCGGATTTGTTTAACATGTCATATTATAATGCAGCTAACTGCTACTGGGTTTTACAACATTGCTTTAGATGTAGCATAGTATATGTTATCATTATTGTTTCAGACAAATAAAATGTCATGTTTGCTTGTTAACAAACACTTATACATTTTGATCAAATATCATTCTTCATGACTCCAGGTCGAAAAATTTGGATTTAAAAAGGAAAAAAATATTTTGCAATGATTCAAAGCATAATTTTAAAAAAAATATTGTATGCTTTGTATGCTTTTTATTTTTTTCTATTCATTTTCATCCTTTTATCATTTTATTTATTGATTTTTGTTTTATTTCAGTTTGTGATAATAATATGTTCGGCCCTGGGTGTAACTCGACATGTGGTAAATGCTACAACAGTACTTGTGATCCCGAGATTGGCCTCTGTCCTGGACCATGTGAACCGGGCTGGAAAGGCCCAATGTGCATGTCATGTACGTTTATTGTCCATATATCTTATAACAAAGGTTAATCATCCATGACGAAACAATATGTCAATTTTGAGTGGTTATGAAACAATGGAATTCTTTCTGTATGATTCTACCGTAAAATACAAATGTATATGAATTTTAATTCACATACTGATAATATTTCAGCACAAATCTCAGTTCAGTTCAGTTTTGCCGCGTGAATGTTGCTATACAGTGAAAGCTTTTTTTAAATCAAAACAATAATAGAAGTTTTAAGATAAAAGCCTCACGGGAAAGTGCCTTCTAAAATCAATAACTTCATGTTGGTTTAGTTTTTAAAGCAACTAAATGAAATTAGTACCATGACGATATCTACTGTGAATAATCTAAAGAAATTTTCACAAAATCTCTCATCCAGATACAGAACAATGCATTTTTACAGCAGTGGTAAAACTTGAAGCGAGCAAATATGACGTCGATACGAAATAACACCAGGTGCCATTGTTATGACGTAAAATGCAATGGCGCCATTATTCAAAATTACAAATTATCTGTATACGGTATAAAGTATATTGGTATGATTCCAGACTCTGATTAATTTGAGCATGGTGATATGTAAATCATATCGTCTTTTCTTAAAATTACAAAGCAATTTGCTAATAAAGATGTATTGATATGATTTTATTAAACGTAATAAAAGAATGTTGTAAGCCTTCTGTTAATGTGATTATAAGGACCTGATAAAGTGATATTAACCAAGACGAAGTCGAGGTCGATATCACATTTTCAGGTCTATTCGTCTCGGTCAATATCACTTTCTCGTGTTAATATAACCACATATTCACCGAAATAAAAGTCTTTAATTTTTATATTAGATGCTATGGATAATTTTCAATTGTTTAAAACTTTGACAGAGCACTGTGATGCTACGAGTGCAATGACGTCATAAAGTGAATATAAACATGCTATTTCTAAAAATAGTGAGACCGAGATAATATAACAAATCACCAACCTCCACGCGATTATGATCCTATCATTGGGGATGTAAGGGACATTTGCATCATCTAATATTACATTTTTTTATCGTTTCGGATATGTATGTCTTACTGAAAATTAAGCATTCGAGATGTCTCTCTGACTTTCTTGCATATACGATCTACATGTCCAGTACTCATTCCATCACATCCAGCTATATACATTGTTTTTATTCCACTGACAGCCTGCGATGATGGTATGTTTGGTGTGAACTGCATGGGAAGTTGCCACTGCCTTACGAACGGAACATGTGATCCGGCCACCGGATATTGTCCTAACGGTGACTGTGACAAAGGATGGATGGGGCCAATGTGTAGTGAACGTGTGTATCGATTTCTTAGTCAATGACTGTTAAACTTGTCTTTAAAGGTTGTTGCTCTGTGTCTGTAGCTGCATGAGTAATTACGTATAATAGGGTTTGCCCACCATACTTTTTTCTTGTAAGAATATAAAATATTCAAGGTAAAGACTTAGGAAGCATACAAAAATTAGTGAAAAGGACAGGAAATCTTCTAATGGATGTACTTTCGTAACACCTAGAAAGCAAATCCATGTCAAAAGATTTACTTCTCATGGTATCATCTTGCCCCGTATGGTATTGGTACATAAAAGTACATTTATTTCAGTGCTGTGACGTCCATCATGATCTTTTGTCACCCTGATAAAAACGAACATAACAATGGGAAATGCTGTATAAATCATGAACAGTTGCCTCTCCTCAACATTTCTTATATAAGATATTGTTTTCGGGTATTATAATGTTGCGTAGAATGGTCTATATTTTTCTGTCTATATGGAGTAGCTTGTAATATTGCTACCACCATTACTTGTAACAGTGTTACCACCAATACTTGTAATAGTGTTACCACCATTACTTGTAATAGAGTTACCACCATTACTTGTAACATTGTTACCACCATTACTTGTAACATTGTTACAACCATTACTTGTAACATTGTTACCACCATTACTTGTAATAGCGTTACCACCATTACTTGTAATAGTGTTAACACCATTACTTGTAACATTGTTACCACCATTACCTGTAATAGTGTTACCACCATTACTTGTTATAGTGTTACCACTATTATTTGTAATAGTGTTACCACCAATACTTGTAATAGTGTTACCACCATTAATTGTAATAGAGTTACCACCATTACTTGTAACAGTGTTCCCACCATTACTTGTAATAGTGTTACCATTATTACTTGTAATAGTGTTACCACCATTCCTTGTAATAGTGTTACCACCATTACTTGTAGCATTGTTACCACCATACTTGTAACAGTGTTACCACCATTACGTGTAATAGTGTTACCACCATTGCTTGTAATAGTGTTACCACCATTACTTGTAGCATTGTTACCACCATACTTGTAACAGTGTTACCACCATTACTTGTAACAGTGATACCACCATTACTTGTAACAGTGTTACCAGCATTACTTGTAATAGTGTTACCATCATTACTTGTAATAGTGGTTACCACCATTACTTGTAACAGTGTTTCCACCATTACTTGTAATATTGTTACCACCATTACTTGTAATAGAGTTACCACCATTGCTTGTAACATTTTTACCACCAGTACTTGTAATAGTGTTACCACCATTACATGTAACAGTGTTACCACCATTACTTGTAACAGTGATACCACCATTACTTGTAACAGTGTTACCAGCATTACTTGTAATAGTGTTACCATCATTACTTGTAACAGTGTTACCACCATTACGTGTAATAGTGTTACCACCATTGCTTGTAATAGTGTTACCACCATTACTTGTTATAGTGTTTCCACCCTTCCTTGTAATAGTGTTACCACCATTACTTGTTATAGTGTTACCGCCATTACTTGTAACATTGTTACCACCATTACCTGTAATAGTGTTACCACCATTACTTGTTATAGTGTTTCCACCCTTCCTTGTAATAGTGTTACCACCATTACTTATAATAGTGTTACCACCATTACTTGTAACATTGTTACCACCATTACTTGTTATGGTGTTACCACCATTACTTGTAATAGTGTTAACACCATTACTTGTAACATTGTTACCACCATTACTTGTTATGGTGTTACCACCATTACTTGTAATAGTGTTACCCCCATTACTTGTAACATTGTTACCACCATTACTTGTAATATTGTTTCCACCATTTCTTGTAACAGTGTTACCACCATTACTTGTAATAGTGTTAGCACCATTACTTGTAACAGTGTTACCACCAATACTTGTAATAGTGTTACCACCATTAATTGTAATAGAGTTACCACCATTACTTGTAACAGTGTTATCACCATTACTTGTAACAGTGTTACCACTATTACTTGTAATATTGTTACCACCATTGCTTGTAATAGTGTTACCACCATTACTTATAATAGTGTTACCACCATTACTTGTAATATTGCTACCACCATTATTTGTAATAGAGTGGTAACACTATTACAAGTAATGGTGGTAACACCATAACAAGTAATGGTGGTAACAATGTTACAACTAATGGTGGTAACACTATTACAAGTAAAGGTGGTAACACTATTACAAGTAATGGTGGTCACACTGTTACAAGTAATGGTGGTAACACTATTACAATTAATGGTGGTAACTCTGTTACAAGTAATGGTGGTAACACTGTTACAAGTAATGATGGTAACACTGTTACAAGTAATGGTGGTATCACTGTTACAAGTAATGGTGGTAACACTGTTACATGTAATGGTGGTAACACTATTACAAGTACTGGTGGTAAAAATGTTACAAGCAATGGTGGTAACTCTATTACAAGTAATGGTGGTAACAATATTACAAGTAATGGTGGTAACTCTATTACAATTAATGGTGGTAACACTATTACAAGTATTGGTGGGAACACTGTTACAAGTAATGGTGGTAACCCTATTACAAGTAATGGTGGTAACACTATTATAAGTAATGGTGGTAACACTATTACAAGGAATGGTGGTAACACTATTACAAGTAATGTTGGTAACACTGTTACAAGTAATGGTGGTATCACTGTTACAAGTAATGGTGGTAACACTATAACAAGTAATAGTGTTACCACCATTACTTGTAATAGTGTTACCACCATTACTTGTAATATTGCTACCACCATTACTTGTAATAGAGTTACCACCATTACTTGTAATAGTGTTACCACCATTACTTGTAACAGTGTTACCACCATTACTTGTAATAGTGTTACCACCATTACTTGTAATAGTGTTACCACCATTACTTGTAAACTATGCCCAGTTTAACATTTATGTTTCGTACTCCAGTAGACAAGTTGTAGTTTTAAGTTCGTAATACACTAAACTACATTCTGTATTTATTGATTTGTATTTCGTACTGCAGTAGATTAGCAATAAATGTTTATTTCGTACCGCAGTAGACTTATGATAGATTTATGTTTCGTACCGCAGTAGACTTATTGTAGATTTATGTTTCGTACCGCAGTAGACTTATTGTAGATTTATGTTTCGTACCGCAGTAGACATATTACAGATTTAGGTTTCGTACCGCAGTAGACTTATTGTAGATGTATTTTTGGGGCCGCAGTAGACTTATTGTAGATATATGTTTCGTGCCGCAGTAGACTTATTGTAGATGTATGTTTCGTGCCACAGTAGACTTATTGTAGATGTTTTTTTGGGGCCGCAGTAGACTTATTGGAGATGTATGTTTCGTGCCGCAGTAGACTTATTGTAGATGTATGTTTCTTGCCGCAGTAGACTTATTGTAAATGTATGTTTCTTGCCGCAGTAGGCTTACGATAGACATATGTTCCGTACTACTGTAGAATAATTTTAGATTTATGTTTCCTACAACAGAAAACTAACTGCAGCTGTATTTTTTCGTCCCACAGAAGACTTGTTTTGTGTATGTATGGTTGTAACATTATGACATTATGTAATGTTATACTATTACTATACAATTATTTTTAGATGAATTCTGTCATAAAATATTAATTTATCTTAAATGTAAGGATATAGACAAAATCGTTCAATAACTCTTTAACGTAAGCTTTAATTTGATAATCTAATTTAATTAGATGTTTTCTTTAATTGATTTTTTTTTATTTCATTGAATATTTTCTTTTCGATTTAATGCGATATTTTAATTTAATTGGATATTTTAATTCAATTGGATATTTTAATTTAATTGGATTTTTCTTTTTGATTTAATTGGGTATTTCAATCTAATTGGATATTTTAACTGAATTGTGTATTTGAATTTAATTGCATATTTTAATTTAACTTTTTGCTGGTATTGTTTTGTTCTTTCCCTTCAGCGTGTCCATGGAATCAGTTTTCGTACAACTGCAATGAAACCTGTCACTGTGTTAACAATGAGAGTTGTCCGTTTGAGTACTGTAATAACGGCTGTGAACCTGGATGGCAAACTTTGTTCTGCAATAAAGGTATGATTTAAACAAATATGTTTTTGATGCAGCGACCAATTAAGTTTGTATACAAACCATTACATATGCATTAATATATCATGCATATATCATCCGTTTATCATGTAGGCAACTAAACAAAGCACAATCTTTGCTTTGCTTCCTATTTTGAAGCAAAACGAAAATGCATCATTTATTTTCGAATCAAAAGGAAATGAAACATATTTAGTTTTCTTTAATATGCTGTTCTTCAGCTGTTGCTGTACAAAGCAATTGTTTTGAAAATGTGAATACCACTTTTCAATAAATATCGATACATCAATTTGAACCTCTGTTTGAAACAAATCGCGTTCAGATTTCTGTTTCTTCATTAGCTAGAGATTTACAGCGAATTTGTTGTATACTTTTACCTCGGTAACTGACACTATATGTCTATGACAGAGTGTGATACGTACAAGTACGGACCCGGCTGTTTATCCACGTGTGGTCACTGCAAGGACAATGTGACGTGTAACCACGTGGACGGAGTGTGTCCTAACGGCTGTGAACCCGGTTACCTAATCGATAAATGTGACACAGGTAAGTTATATTATATACATTTTATAAAAATTCGTACGTTTTACCTTTCAATTACCACAATATGTCGCTTTAGCTTTTATTTATAATATAAACATCACATAACGTCTATTTTAAATGAATACCAATTTGTAACCATTATGTTAAATAGAGAATGTTGACACAAAAATATCATACGATTTTTGGAAAAATGTTAGTATCGAGAAAACTGGAGGAACCCCCCAATAAATTCAAATATTTGTTGAACCGAAACATACGGAAGAGCATAAGGGTCATGTCGTAAAAAATATTTTCGTTTTTTCGTGTTAATAACTCGAAATTTCGAGATTTATTTGTTTCAAAAAGCTTAACAGAAATAAATGCAAAAATATAATTATTTGCATAATTATAATGGTATTGAACAGAGTTGTTTCAATGTATCTATTTATTTCAAAAGTCAGCATATTTCAATTTGACGTCATAATCTATGGCAAGTGTTTTCCCGACCAGAAACAGGAATCCTGTATTTAAGAGAAGCATATGGGTTTTTAGATATAATTCGAGCGTAATGGTTGGAAAAAGTCACAAAACTCATAAAGCCATGTTATATTTATCTAAGCATCATTACTTTACTTGTATAAAAGAAAATTAGTAAGCCTAGTGTCTTTATAAAAAATGTTAACTCAAGTTAAATAAACATGATAACCAACCAGCGCTCGTTCGGGAACCTCTATATTATATTTGAAATATCGTGTATTATATTTAATTCCATGTCAATACAAAACACAATATTTTCAAAATGAATCAAAATAAATCCAAGGATGTACAAATATTGTGATATTTCTTACTTGTTACGCAATAGAAATCCACAAGTACTCAAAGTTTTCTAGAATATCTTTTTTTTTCATCTCCTTTTCTTCTTCTTCTTCTTCTACCTCTATCGTAATCTCCTACTGAACTCAAATGTATTAGCGTAGTTGTCGTTGATATTTAATCCGGCTGTAAGTCAATCACAGCACCGTAATTAGATTGATTTTCCTGTCAACCTATAACCTATACTTATGCTTAAAATTTGTCTCAATGATATGGTTTAGATTCTTTTTCTATATATTTATTACCTGACTGAATTCCACACATGCATTGTGTTTAGCCGTTATGTATCTTTAAAGGTGAAATAATTCCAATGAAAGAAGAAACATTCATTTGTATACGATCATATAGCCGAAACATTGTGATCAGCGAGTCTATAAAGCGCCAATATCATGTGCTTGTCAGTAAAGCAGTCTTCCGGTTTATACAGGCGACTTCTATTTATGAAAAGTTGATGGTTCTTGTCTTGCACTGTCAGCTTTAAATTCTTTGACGGAACACAATCTTCCATTTCAGAATGTTCATTCAGAACTTTTGGTGAAAACTGTTCTCAAAATTGTTTCTGTGAGACTGATAACTGTGATCACGTGACCGGCATATGTGACGTGGATCTGTGTCAAAAAGGCTATATGGGACCAACGTGTAGTGACGGTAAGTGTAATATTGATTGTCATTTAAGAACTTTTCTGTCAACAAAATCATACAAAACAAAAACAATATAACCGCGAGAAAGGATAACAACAAAAACATGCTTTGGTAACAGCTGGGTTAGAAATTTGTGGAGATATTTGGTAATGCATTTTGTTTGGAACTCATGTCAGTAATGACAAATTTACGATTATTTTCATTTAGCACGGTTGGATTGCGGGTTTTTACTGTTGTTATTTTAACAGACATTTCATGAAGCACTTCACTGTGGTAAATATAAGCCGCGTCAGTGCATACTGACAAATTGTTCTAAAGCGTTTACGTAAACAATATCGGAAAATATTCAGGAATATGCAGCTGTTGTCTTCACATTTATCTTCATGTTGATGGCATATACCTACGGCAAAGTTAAATCATTTAACACTGTGGGTGTATGGATAATACTTTTAACACTATGGGTGTATGGATAATGCTCTTAACACTGGGTGTATGGATAATACTTTTAACACTTTGGGTGTATGGATAATGCTTTTAACACTGTGGGAGTATGGATAATGCTTTTAACACTGTGGTTGTATGGATAATTCTTTTAACACTATGGGTGTATGGATAATACTTTTAAAAATGTGGGTGTATGGATAATGCTTTTAACACTGTGGTTGTATGGATAATGCTTTTAACACTATGGGGGTATGGATAATGCTTTTAACACTATGGGGGTATGGATAATGCTTTTAACACTATGGGTGTACGGATAATGCTTTTAACACTGTGGGTGTACGGATAATACTCTTAACACTATGGGTGTATGGATAATACTTTTAACACTGAGGGTGTATGGATAATGCTTTTAACACTGTGGTTGTATGGATAATGCTTTTAACACTATGGGGGTATGGATAATGCTTTTAACACTATGGGTGAATGAATAATACTTTTAACACTGTGGGTGTATTGATAATACTTTAACACTTTGGGTGTATGGATGAAACTTTTAACACTGTGGGTGTATTGATAATACTTTAACACTTTGGGTGTATGGATGAAACTTTTAACACTGTGGGTGTATTGATAATACTTTAACACTTTGGGTGTATGGATGAAACTTTTAACACTGTGGGTGTATTGATATTGTTTTTCACCCTGTGGGTGGATGGATGATACTTTTAACACTCTGGGTGTATGGATAATACTTTTAACACTATGGGCGTATGGATAATGCTTTTAACACTGTGGTTGTATGGATAATTCTTTTAACACTATGGGTGTATGGATAATACTTTTAAAAATGTGGGTGTATGGATAATGCTTTTAACACTGAGTGTATGGATAATACTTTTAACACTGTGTGTGTATGGATAATGCTTTTAACACGGTGGGTGTACGGATAATACTTTTAACACTATGGGTGTATGGATAATACTTTTAAAAATGTGGGTGTATGGATAATGCTTTTAACACTACGGGTGTATGGATAATACTTTTAACACTTTGGGTGTACGGATAATACTTTTAACACTTTGGGTGTACGGATAATACTTTTAACACAAATGTCGGTGTATGGATAATACTTTTAACACTGAGGGTGTATGGATAATGCTTTTAACACTGTGGTTGTATGGATAATGCTTTTAACACTATGTGTGTATGGATAATGCTTTTAACACTATGTGTGTATGGATAATGCTTTTAACACTATGTGTGTATGGATAATGCTTTTAACACTATGTGTGTATGGATAATGCTTTTAACACTATGTGTGTATGGATAATGCTTTTAACACGGTGGGTGTACGGATAATACTTTTAACACTATGGGTGTATGGATAATACTTTTAACACTGCGGGTGTATGGATAATGCTTTTAACACTGGGTGTATGGATAATACTTTTAACACTATTGGTGTATGGATAATGCTTTTAACACTGTGGGAGTATGGATAATGCTTTTAACACTATGGGTGTATGGATAATACTTTTAAAAATGTGGGTGTATGGATAATGCTTTTAACACTTTGGGTGTACGGATAATACTTTTAACACAAATGTCGGTGTATGGATAATACTTTTAACACTGCGGGTGTATGGATAATGCTTTTAACACTTTGGGTGTATGGATAATGCTTTTAACACTACGGGTGTATGGATAATACTTTTAACACTATTGGTGTATGGATAATACTTTTAACACTGAGGGTGTATGGATAATGCTTTTAACACTGGGTGTATGGGTAATGCTTTTAACACTATGGGTGTATGGATAATGCTCTTAACACTGGGTGTATGGATAATACTTTTAACACTGCGGGTGTATGGATAATGCTTTTAACACTTTGGGTGTACGGATAATACTTTTAACACTGTGGGTGTATGGATACTGCTTTTAACACTATGGGTGTACGGATAATACTTTTAACACAAATGTCGGTGTATGGATAATACTTTTAACACTGCGGGTGTATGGATAATGCTTTTAACACTGTGGTTGTATGGATAATTCTTTTAACACTATGGGTGTATGGATAATACTTTTAAAAATGTGGGTGTATGGATAATGCTTTTAACACTGGGTGTATGGATAATGCTTTTAACACTGAGTGTATGGATAATACTTTTAACACTGTGGTTGTATGGATAATTCTTTTAACACTATGGGTGTATGGATAATACTTTTAACACTGAGGGTGTATGGATAATGCTTTTAACACTGGGTGTATGGGTAATGCTTTTAACACTATGGGTGTATGGATAATACTTTTAACCCTGTGGGTGTATGGATAATACTTTTAACACTATGGGCGTATGGATAATGCTTTTAACACTGTGGGTGTATGGATAATACTTTTAACACTGTGGGTGTATGGATGATACTTTCAACACTGTGGGTGTATTGATATTGTTTTTAACACTGTGGGTGGATGGATGATACTTTTAACACTCTGGGTGTATGGATAATACTTTTAACACTGTGGGTGTATGGATAATACTTTTAACACTTAAATTTGGGAGTATGGCTAATACTTTTAACACTGTGGGTGTATGGATAATACTTTTAACACTCTGGGTGTATGGATAATACTTTTAACCCTTAAATTTGGGTGTATGGCTAATACTTTTAACACTGTGGGTGTATGGATGGTACTTTTAACACTGTGGGTGTATGGATAATGCTTTCAACACTGTGGGTGTACGGATAATACTTTTAACACTTTGGGTGTACGGATAATACTTTTAACACAAATGTCGGTGTATGGATAATACTTTTAACACTGTGGGTGTATTGATATTGTTTTTAACACTGTGGGTGTATGGATGATACTTTTATCACTGTGGGTGTATGGATGATACTTTTAACACTCTGGGTGTATGGATAATACTTTTAACACTTAAATTTGGGTGTATGGCTAATACTTTTAACACTGTGGGTGTATGGATAATACTTTTAACACTTTGGGTGTATGGATAATACTTTTAACACTGTTTGTGTATGGATAATACTTTTAACACTGTGGGTGTATTGATAATACTTTAACACTTTGGGTGTATGGATGAAACTTTTAACACTGTGGGTGTATGGATGATACTTTTAACACTGTGGGTGTACGGATAATACTTTTAACACTGTGGGTATATGGATAATACTTTAAAGTAAAACAGAGTAAAATATATCACAGCGTCATCACAAGATAAGATGGTCTAAACACTCACACTGGATATGAACAGAACAGGACAGAACGCGATGCTGAAAACTGTATACGTTATATATATTACTAATATACTTTGACGTCGACTGCTCAGGCCAGAGTTCACTACCTTGATGACGTTCTCATTTTTATTTTTGTTAATCTTTACCTATAACCAAATATTGTAGGTAGAATCACATGTGTGCCTTGTGTTCGTCATTAATGATACAAGGTGGATTTCTTAGTCCCCGATGTTTGCCGTAACCTTTGTTAGCCACAGTTAGCTTTTTTGAGTAGTGGCACAGTTCATAAGTAACTCAATATTATTTTTTTTTCAATCAATCAATTCACCTTTTATTTTTGAAAGTCATATAATTGAGGGTTTTTTTACGCACCTGCCCTTCTGTTTCAACAGTAGTTTAGACTCTAGCATTTCCGATGAGTCCTAAAAGGAAGTAACAGCTGTGAGATGCAGTGTATTTCATTTTTGGCATATTCTATCTAAAAACAATTTATGTATGGTGTGTATCGTATGCTCCACCTTTCAAAATTTAAATTTGATATTGATCAGTATACCTCTAGCTTATGAAATGTATATATTTGAGGAGTTTGACGCCCTCACCCCTCCCCATTTCTGTTTCAACAGTAGTTTAGACCAAATTGGAAGTCCACCTTTGTGGTCTCTATAGCATCAACAATGAACCTAGAAGGAAGAAATAACTGTATGATGCAGTGTATTTCATTTTTGACATACAGTATATATGTCCAATATTGTCGGTGCAATCACATGTGTGTTGTGTTGTGTGTGTGTGTGTGTGTGTGTGTGTGTGTGTGCCACAAGTTCATCGTTCTGAAATGAAAGTTTAGTCACAGGCTGGAATTCATCAAATGTCAAATAAAAGTGTAAACTCTTTATGTGTCTATGTTCAGATATCAATAGTAGAAAGACCAAATATTAGCATTGCAGAATAATCTTAACTTTTAAATATCCTTCGTTTGATTTCGAATATGAACAATTGCGGAGTTATTATTTCAAAATCACCAAAAAATTATATTTGCTCGATATTATGTTTGGTTCTGGTTTTTTTAATCAGTTTGTCCTCCTGGTCAGTTTGGTAACAACTGCCTGATGACGTGTCATTGCCTGATTGGCGGTTGTCTCCCTACGGACGGCATGTGTATCGAGAACGCCGGGTGTGAACCAGGATGGCAGGGCCTCTCGTGCAGTGAAGGTACTGTACACACATCGCATACCATTTATACCCTCCATATGGTTTCTCTTCGGTAGTTGTATTGCAATTATCCCGGGGTTTTTTAATTCTCCTGAATCCCATTTTTTTATTATTGCAGATAATATTCATTCGTAAATGAAAACGGGTATACTCATTTAAACATAAGAAAATCAGTGATAACATTCCAGTTAACATGAGTTTTGTGTAATATCCCATCGTTATATATTCATAGGTTATCCCACGGTGTCTGCGATGAACTCGAGATTTTATCCGTGTGCGATGAAAGAAAGTGTTCGAACGCCAAACAGTGATATTACTGTGCGATAAACAGTTTATCATCTGTTTGCGTGTGGGAATACAATGAACCTTAAAACTATGCAGAAAGAAATTATTATCACAGAATTATCGTAATTGGCTTCTCCATATGCATATTTACGCTTAAAATGATGTTGTTATTCCCACATTTTCTTTGTAGTCTTATGATGATATTTTTGTGACGGACAACTTTGTGTCGATATTATTTCCGTTTCATGACTTCACTTGGCGCAAGAATACATTTGAGGAAATACTTTCCAAAATGGGAAAAGTCCCTTCTCAATGTCTTCTCGAGTACTCTCACACTGACATCCCGTGATAATGAGTTTATCATGCCACTGATATTTGGTATAAAGTAGTATATAGATGAGACATTGCCGATTGTAAGATGAATATCCAATCGAACAAGTCGATTCTCGCGTGTGACATGAGCTCTTTAGCGAGTAGGTAATTCAAGAAAAAGAAACTCACCAGAATTGACATCAATCCTAATCGTTCCATCATACACAAAGATGATACGGACATCGCGCCGCTTGGCGATGTTATTTTTTTCAGTTTGCAGTAATTCAAAACATAAACCATGACGTGCGAATGAAGAAACAGGTAACGGGAGAAACAATCTATTATGTCAAATAGTTACGGAATCTGATGGGTTTACTACACGCAGTTTTAAACTGGGATTTATCTTATTCTACAAGGTGGAGTTTAAAATCGTTTTTTTATGTTTAAATATTTCAGAATGTGATCCATCAACTTTTGGAGATGGTTGCACACAGCAGTGTGGGTATTGTCTGATGGGGGCAGCATGTGACCATATAACCGGTCGTTGTCCGGGAGACTGTGAGGATGGCTTTCAACAGCCTCTGTGCAAGCAAGGTTAGAGTAGCAGTACAAAAATGTTTTTTTTCAATTCAAAATATTTGATTAAATCAAACAATTCAATGGGAATTGGGCAACAGGCTATGCCTATTCCGTCTTTGCGTATTGCAGAGTTATCTTCTCTTGGGAGCAGGGATTGATTGTTACGTCATTGGTTTGTGTTAGAAAATTACGTCGTTTTCTGAAAAATTGATGACGTAACTCTCACAAACCAATGACGTAACAATTAATACCTGCTCACAAGAGAGGATAACTCTGCAATACGCAAAGACGGAATAGAAGCCCTTTTCCCTTGGGTTACATACATTTCAAACAATAACATAATCATAATTTAGACATTGACAAATTAGCACTGGCTTGGAACATTAAATAGTACTTAAAATACTTAATACTTAATAGTTAATAGTTAATAGTCTCTATCTATCTCTTAACAAAGCAAAATTAAAAATTAAAAAATTAAAATAACTGAGGTGAAACAAATACAGTTGGTGGTTTTTTTGTAATTTTTTCTTTACATAGTTACCAGTTTATATAAAATATATTTCAAAGTGGAAAGCCATGTATGTGTGTGTATACTGCATTTGTAAATAATCAAATTTTATATATTTTACAACATATATCAATATCAAAAACTGGAACCTCCATTCAGTACAGTAAATATTAAATAGTATCAGTTGAAAAAATTGTAACACCAACTAGTCCTCCATCACCACTCCTACTCCAGATAACAATTATAACTGGGCAGCACTAAAATGTCCATACATACCACCACTGTGTGCTTACCCAGTCATTGACAATCCAGAGCAGGAGCCGTGTTGAAGGAGTATTCATGTAGACATGTATATATACATTAGCATTGGGACTGGAATTAACAGTTATTTCTAAATCTGTTAGTGGATTCAATATATTTCTGACAAAATAATGTTGCAGTAGTATTGGAAGTTATATTTGCTGTTTAGGGGATAGTACGTTGTTTTGAGTGGCTATACTGGCGCTTAGAACATGAAATTTGTGTTTGAACTCGAGACCGATAGGTCGAGAGTTTAAACCAAATTTCATGTTCTAATCGCCAGTATAGACACGAAAAACAACGTACTATCCCCATTCTAACACACCTTAACAAATAAACTACGCTAATATGTTTAGAAACATTGTAGGCCTATTTCCTTGTACAAAAATACTTTGTGACCTGAACTGGCGACGTGTCATTCTGCAGCGGACTGACCAATCGGAAAGAAGCTTTCAAAAGTCGGTCATTTAGCCCCGCCCATACTGGCGAGAGCTCGATCTGTATGTTGACGAGGCGGAATATTTGGATTGTTCGTGAACGTCCTGTTACCAAAGTTTATACGACACATTCGGATTAATATTGAACAAGTTCTTACATTTCCATGTCAGTATGCATACCAATCGGTGCTTATCGACNGTGTACTTTTTACATTTTAATTCATTCAACAAATACATTTCATCGGTCGTTTCTGTTCTGTTGCCTACTAGTCTGTATCAGCGGGATTTCGCTAAGAGGCGAGCTTGACGCCATATTGTTTTGGTTAGAAACGGGGCGTGGCTGAAGTGCGATGGGAGGAGCTTAACACGATTGATCATGATACATGTACTATCGCAGATTAGAACATGGTCCGTATCCAATCAAAACACGTGTTGCAAACGAATCGTGTTAGAATATATGATAGTGATCAACTTCTTCTTTTGAACTGCTATTGACATTCAACATGATTGGACATCTAACTAGGTCTTGCCATGCCATTGCAAATATTTGGATATTTAACCTTGCTATCGATGATCAAAATGATGGGACATCGAACTAGGTCTAACCATTACATAACGAATAATTACGTAATATATATTGCATTACAAATGCAAGAGATGTACAATATGCAACTCTCACACACAATCAATGTTTCTTTTAACAGCATGTGGTGGCAACACCTACGGAACGAACTGCGCTCAAGTCTGTGGAGCCTGTAGGGGTTCAATACCATGTGAACACGCGTCGGGAGTCTGTCCGGATTCTTGTGAGCCTGGTTGGACTGGACTGTTGTGCAAAACAGGTAACTTAGATGTTTGGCCCCTTGCCTAATCAAAAAAAAAATCATAGGGTGCATATTTCATATTTTGTGTGATGTTAATGGGTTCAAAACTAGTGCGGAGTTCAGCAAAAGTCATATCCCAGATTTCTGAGATGACAATATTTTTCTGAAGTAATATAAATATGAGCTATATGCCATGGATCTAAAATATTTAACTTTATCAAATCATACCTATCATGAACATAACGGAATTATTTTAGTGTATGTTTTGTTTTATGCACATGTGTTTCTTGTCACTCTCTTTGATCAATAAGATAAGGGAGACAAATCTTAAAATATCTGTATTTCCAATAAAGTATATAAATTCACCTTTGTTTGTTAACGCTGTGGTATAGTTTGTCGTTGTTTGTTAACGCTGTGGTATATTATGTCCTTGTTTGTTAACGCTGTGGTATATTATGTCCTTGTTTGTTGACGCTGTGGTATAGTATGTCCTTGTTTGTTAACGCTGTGGTATATTATGTCCTTGTTTGGTGACGCTGTGGTATATTATGTCCTTGTTTGTTGACGCTGGGGTATATTATGTGTCCCTGTTTGTTAACACTGTGTTATATAATGTGTCCTTGTTTGTTGACGCTGTGGGATATTATGTGTCCTTGTATGTTGACGCTGTGGTATATTATGTGTCCTTGTTTGTTGACGCTGTGGTATATTATGTCCTTGTTTGTTGACGCTGTGGTATATTATGTGTCCTTGTATGTTGACGCTGTGGTATATTATGTGTCCCTGTTTGTTAACACTGTGGTATATAATGTGTCCTTGTTTGTTGACGCTGTGGTATATAATGTCCTTGTTTGTTGTCGCTGTGGTATATTATGGGTCCTTGTTTGTTGACACTGTGGTATATTATGTCCGTGTTTGTTAACGCTGTGGGATATTATGTTTCCTTGTTTGTTTTCACTGTGGTATATTATGTGTCGCTGTTTGTTAACACTGTGTTATATAATGTGTCCTTGTTTATTGACGCTGTGGTATATAATCTGTCCTTGTTTGTTGACGCTGGGGTATAGTATGTTTCCTTGTTTGTTGTCGCTGTGGTATATTATGTGTCACTGTTTGTTAACACTGTGTTATATAATGTGTCCTTGGTTGTTGACGCTGTGGTATAGTATGTGTCCTTGTTTGTTAACGATGTGGTATATTATGTCCTTGGTTGTTGACGCTGTGGCATATTATGTTTCCTTGTTTGTTGACGCGGTGGTATATTATGTCCTGGTTTGTTAACGCTGTGGTATAGTTTGTCGTTGTTTGTTAACGCTGTGGGATATTATGTTTCCTTGTTTGTTGACGCTTTGGTATATTTGTGTCCTTGTTTGTTGTCGCTGTGGTATATCATGTTTCCTTGTTTGTTGACGCTGTGTTATATTATGTTTCCTTGTTTGTTAACGCTGTGGTATATTATGTCCTTGTTTGTTGACGCTGTGGTATATTATGTTTCCTTGTTTGTTGACGCTGTGGTATATCATGTGTCCATTTTTTTTGACGCTGTGGTATATTACGTGTCCTTGTTTGTTGACGCTTTGGGATATTATGTCCTTGTTTGTTAACGCTGTGGTATATTAGGTGTCCTTGTTTGTTGACGCTGTGGTAAAGTATGTGTCCTTGTTTGTTAACGCTGTGGTATATTATGCCCTTGTTTGTTGACGCTGTGGGATATTACGTGTCCTTGTTTGTTGACGCTTTGGTATATTATGTGCTTGTTTGTTAACGCTGTGGTATATAATGTGTCCTTGTTTGTTGACGCTGTGGTATATTATGTCCTTGTTTGTTAACGCTGTGGTATATTATGCCCTTGTTTGTTGACGCTGTGGTATATTACGTGTCCTTGTTTGTTGACGCTTTGGTATATTATGTCCTTGTTTGTTAACGCTGTGGTATATAATGTGTCCATGTTTGTTAACGCTGTGGTATATTATGTGGCCTTGTTTGTTGACGCTGTGGTATATTATGTCCTTGTTTGTTAACGCTGTGGTATATTCTGTGGCCTTGTTTGTTGACGCTGTGGTATATTATGTGTCCTTGTTTGTTGACGCTTTGGTATATTATGTGTCCTTGTTTGTTGATGCTGTGGTATATTATGTGTCCTTGTTTGTTGACACTGTGGTATATTATGTCCTTGTTTGTTGACGCTGTGGTATATTATGTGTCCTTGTTTGTTAACGCTGTGGTATATAGTGTGTCCTGGTTTGTTGACGCTGTGGTATATTATGTGTCCTTGTTTGTTGACGCTGGGGTATAGTATGTTTCCTTGTTTGTTGACGCTATTTTTTCAAAATTGTTTTCCTGAAGAATGTAACCCTGGATATTATGGACAAGATTGCAACCAAATATGTAACTGCAGAAATAATACGGCTTGCGACCCAGTCGTAGGTACTTGCCCGAACGGCGAGTGTGACTACGGATGGACTGGCCTCACGTGCGGCGATCGTAAGTGCCATGCTTTTAATTGTATTTAAAAATATTATCATTTCTATGTCAACGGGAAAATGAAAGTTATTAAAGACATCAAGATCAGGACAACATATCAACAGTGTGTATTTTTGTATGTCGACCGGTTTTATTGACTGATAGTTCGGACGTCAATACTGTGTATATAAATGTTATATAATTTGATAACAAAGAACAAAAGGAGATATTGGAACACTTCAAGCAGGTAAAATTCAAAACAAAAATTAATTTAAGAATTTGACAGACAGTAAATATCTAAAATAATTTCAAAGTTAACGTCAAGCGTCAACATAAACTGTTGGTTTTGTCTGATAGGCTGTCTCCTAGGTACTTACTCATACAACTGTCAGAAGACATGCAATTGTCTGGTGGGATTTTGTGATCCTGCGGATCCGGAAGGTATATGTCCTGTTCAAGGATGTTTACCAGGCTGGACGGGACGTGCTTGTAATGAAGGTAAACAAAGGATATATTTATCCTCTGATAAATAAGGAATTTTCAATATAATTACCCGTTGTCGAGGTTAATCGTCAAAGGTGTGATTCACAGTAATTTAAGTGAAGAGGAGGATTATTATGTTAGAGATTTGCTAGAAACATTATAGCGAAAATCGGATTCGCTTGATCCTTTTTTCAAAAGACAAGATGATAATACATGCAAATATGTGTATTAATCAAACTAATGCATCACAATATTGGACAAAACATACATGATGTCTCGATTTGTTACTATGAACTGGGGAATTAAAACGGTGCTGTTTAAAAAATAGTAAAGCAATTATTTGATTGATTATAAGACCGTATTTTTCCTGTAAAGTTTAAAAGCGAAAAGATAGATACAAAAAAGCTGAAACCGTTTCTACCCTAAAGAAGAACCAACTCGTCAAAACCCTTCAATTCATTTCGTTTGTATAAAGAAATCCCTAATTGCACTCCTGTGTAAATGGAATTGTACAGATTTTATAATTTCTTACTACTCACTTTTCAAACCCCCACCAGTAAGGTCAGATGTATTCATTTCAGTTTGTCGTAATGGAACCTACGGCCCCTCGTGCACGTGGACATGTGGCGCCTGTTTCGGGGAGGAACCATGTGACCACAAATCTGGTGTGTGTCCAACCGGATGTTCCCCGGGATACACCGGACTAGCTTGCATCTCAAGTACGTATCACGAAAACGACTGTACAATCAACCGGAAGTCCGAAACCTAATGACGCATGTCTCCTTGCTGTAATTTTGACTCCTTTCTAAAAAGAGTTCTATACTTAGAGATGAGTAAATCAACTTTTAAACATCGCAATTGAGTTTTAAAATGCAGGCTGTAAAATACAATGGTGCAAGTTATCTTTATTTATTAAATAATATGTTGATGAAAAAGAAAGGGACAATAATTTTATCTTGAATATATCAATGTGTTTTGTAATTTGCAACCATATATTTGGATACTCCTATCATCTATGTAATATCTTACATAATTAATATGGCGATAATAACGGATAACTTACTAGTGCGACATCCATCTTTCCCTTTTGAGAGAGGTTGAGTCTATGTTATCCATTGGCTAGACTATTTTAGTCTGTTGATCGTGACTATGTACCTCGGGCAGGGCACGAGTCTAAAGGTCTCTGCATTCCTAATTTGTGTTTCAGTGTTGTGTTTCCTTTACTATTTACAAGATAAAAATAAGCCGAGAAATTCAAGCGACTCTGACCATTACACCGACGCGGCTACCGAAAACGAGGTTTTGATGTTGAGCTCAATACTCTCGACACGATCAAAGTGACAAATCGTCAATGATTTTGTCAGTATGTAACTGATTAGTCCGAATTATTCTGACGTTTTATCGATTTTTTTCATATCGGTCTGTCGTCGATTAACGTCAGAACTCTATAATATGCGGGAAATATGCGACCCGCGCCCGGAGCGCACTTCAAACTGATATTTTAGAAACAAATCGTCACTTTCACACACATATCGCACATGGATCGAAAGATCTATTCTTTATGCACTAGGTGTTATCAATAAGATGTTTCAAAGACCATTACGAAAAGCATTTTCCAACGTTTTCTTTACCAACTCATGTTTTTTATGGAAACTAGGCCATGAGAAATGTCACATGACTTGACGAGATCTCGCGTTACCGAAGGTATTTCCCAACGTTATGACGTAGGCCGGCGAGATTTTAGTCACGTGGCATTGGAAGGCGGGGCTATCAAAAAACTAGAGTAAAACAGAGTAAGTTTGAAAAAATATGTTTTTAGTGATTGTATTAGTTGTTTGAGGCATGTTCTGTTTGTTCATCTTGTTCATAAAGAATTGATCTTTCGATCCATGTGCGACATGTGTGTGAAAGTGACGATTTGTTTCTAAAATATCAGTTTGAAGTGCGCTCCGGGCGCGGGTCGCATATTTCCCGCATATTATAGAGGGCCGGAGTTCTGACGTTAATCGACGACAGACCGATATGAAAAAAGTCGATAAAACGTCAGAATAATTCGGACTAGTAACTGATGTGACGTAGAACGAGAATTCGCGGCCAGGAGAGATCACGGATGCGAGTCTGATGTATGGATGGTAAACATTGCGTTCAAATATGTATACATCGCGTTCTTACATATGTATACATTGCATTCTTACATATGTAAACATTGCATTCTTACATAGGTATACATCGAATCTTACATAGGTATACATCGAATCGTACATAGGTATACATCGAATCTTACATAGGTATACATCGCGATCTTAAATATTAGGTATACATCGCGTGCATCCAGTATTTTTGTCCCAATGGTACGAACCGTATTGATTAACACAATATACCAATACTAGTATATGTGTCTACCTAAGTAGATGCACCGTGTCTAATAACCGCACGCTTTTTGTCAACTTCATTTTTTATGCGTTTTCTTTTATCCAATGGTGCTAAAATATAAAACAAGTGGAGAGGAATCACCAAGCCCATAAACAGTCGATTTGACTACAGAGATCTCTTCTGTTACAGCGTGTGCTAACTGACTACAGATATCTCTTCTGTTACAGCGTGTGATAACTGACTACAGAGATCTCTTCTGTTACATCGTGTGATAATTGACTACAGAGATCTCTTCTGTTACACCGTGTGATAACTGACTACGGAGATCTCTTCTGTTACAGCGTGTGATAACTGACTACGGAGATTTCTTCTGTTACAGCGTGTGATAATTGACTACAGAGATCTCTTCTGTTACAGCATGTGATAACTGACTACGGATATCTCTTCTGTTACAGCGTGTGATAACTGACTACGGAGATTTCTTATGTTACAGCGTGTGATATTTGACTACAGAGATCTCTCCTGTTACAGCGTGTGATATTTGACTACAGAGATCGCTTCTGTTACAGCATGTGATCACTGACTACGGATATCTCTTCTGTTACAGCGAGTGATAATCGACTACAGAGATCTCTTCTGTTACAGCGTGTGATAACTGGTGGCACGGACAGGATTGCACATTGAGGTGTGGCTACTGCTATAGAGACGCCATATGTAATCCCGTTACCGGGGTATGTCCGAATGGATTGTGCAGCACGGGATGGGGTGGAGCCACATGTACAACACGTAGGAAACTTTATAAGCATATTGTATATGTTTTGTTGTTGGTTTTTTTCATTTTTTTTTCATTTGAAATTTTACTGAAAACATGTTACTTGAAAAAATACAGTCGTAATAGGGTAGGATGAATGTATGAATATGTCTAAATGATTCCTTAAGAATAAACTTCCTAATAAATTGCCACCAGTTTAAAAGACGAGTCATTACGTTTTCCTCTGTATTAATGAAGGGCATAATTAGCCTTTGTACTGTATATATAAACCTTACAGAGTTGTATCATTGATTTGGTACATCTATGAATCTAAAACGTATATCTTTGCCGTTATTGCAACATCTTAATCTTTGCTTTCCTTTCAGTGTTGATCTTGTTCATTTAATTTTACGGATCCCCTCATATCTCCTTCGTTAATGATGTTTGCCTGAATGAATGGCTCTACATTAATCATGCTATCTTTGATGCCGAAATGAATATCTGTAGTAAAATGGATAACCACAGATATACCGAAAATCAGATCCATTCGAAAAATAGAAAAATGCTCAAACATATGACTTCTGTTTGTTGGTATAATAAATCACTATTTTTTAAATTACCGTCTTTGTATTATAATGCTGTTGATTGTATTTCTGTTGCCAAGCATGCCCTTCCACAAGGTTTGGTGAGGGATGTCTTTCCCTGTGCTCAGAGAACTGTGTGAATCAGGAATGTGACCGATACAACTCCTCCTGTACTTCCGGTTGTATACCTGGATACCAGGGACACGCATGCACCGAGCCGATACCGATAGGATCAGTTGATGGTAGGAGCATACGATTTAGACAAGTGAAATTGACATCGAGAACCCTCAAGGGAGAAAAACAAAAACTCTATCGGGGACCAAATCGAATAACTTATGATATTAACCCCAAATTATGAAATTATTATCCGTATACTTCGCATTGCTTTATCATATACTAGGTGGTATGGACGGAAGCTACTGTTTAAATGGACGAATTTGAAAATAAAAGCACATTGGAAAGTCCTTAAAAAAAAAAATGGTTGTCGTTTTGGTTTAACTGTTAAAGTGGCGAAGTAAAATGGACCGAAAGATCAGTATTGCTATTGATACTGACCAATTTTATACAAACTCATCTACCACTTTAAGTTTGTGTATTTGATGTAAAATTAGTTGATAAATATCAAAATCGCGATAAATCGATCATAAAATGAGCCAGTATTTTTTCATCACAGTAAAGTGTTATGAAACGCAACCAAAGATTAGGGATACACTTGAGTTTTTGATATCGTCTATGGTATTGCCTTAATAGAAATATGTCTTTGTTAACATGACAGTATAAAATGTTGTATAAAATAATCACATCAGAAATGTGTAAATGTGTCCTGTTTTTTGCGATTTGATGTTTGCACCTAACGTGAAAATAGTGTGATGGATTTGAAATGTATCGGCTATTATCGTTCCGATACTACTCAACATAAGCAATCAGGCTGCATACCTTTGTGTGAACTCGTATTCATCCAAGCAATTAGAACGAACGTCTAATATTACACCTTACATGGTGTGTCTTACCCATATCTTTGATTGAAACACACGTATTACGTATTATGGTGTTGTTTTTCCAGATTATTGGAGAGAACACACAAAGCTCGTTCTCTACATCATAGCGGGGATTCTTTTCTTGATGGCTTTTCTTGTGATCCTGTGTTGTCTCAGAAGGTAGGAACCGTTCAAAGATATTTTCACAAAGAATCTCTCGACTTGCTTTTGTTGTCAGTGTGTCTTTAATTTGTATTTGATATCTTCAATACAAGCAAAGTGATGTTCAACAAAGTATGCATCTTTCGGATTCAAATATTAATAATGTGGAAAACTCGCTCTGTGATTTCAGGGACCTGGGACTGTATTCATGAAACCGTTCTCATTCTCAAGTTTGGATTCTGTACTAAAGCCCGTTTTCTTGTCACGGTGTTAAATTTAGAACAAAAGACATTTTGTTGAGGATTTGAAAAGAAAAAAACCCACTTTCAAACCGAATATTCTTTTCAAAGATACAGAAGGTTTTTTGACCGTATCACATGGTTTAATTGCATGTAAAGAAAGTTGCCTTGAGCACAGAATCCATGTTTGAGCATGAGAACAGTTTCACGAATACTGACCCTGCACTCTAAAATGTACTTTCAATGGATAATATTATTAATGGTGACATATTCTGTGAAAATCCTTATTTTCATTGATGAATTAATGCTCACACCAAAAGTGCTATAGAATGCTATTCCGTCTTTGCGTATTGTAGAGTTATCTTCTCTTGAGAGCAGGTATTGATTGTTACGTCATTGGTTCGTATGAGAAAAGTACGTCGCTTTCTCAAAAATTGATGACGTTACTCTCACAAACAAATGAGGTAACAATAAATACCTGCTCTCAAGAGAAGATAACTCTGCAATACGCAAAGACGGAATAGACAGCAAATAAAATTGTTGCAATCAGAGTTTAGCGCAAATTTGGTGAAATAAGATTACCACCAAATTATCTTAAATAAGTAATTTAGTCATCCTCGCATAATACTTTTTTATTTAAAGAAATGAATATAGGTAAAACCATCTGAACTCTTAATTCCAGAAAGAAAGTTCTAAAATGATTTCATCATGCGTCCATGTACTGCTAAGCTATACTTTAATTGATTGTTTCGTATAAACATTAGTGCATTGTTCAAAACTACGGTACATGTATACTGCCCGGATCATATATATTGACCCTGTCTACATATATCTAGTGCAGTACATTCCAAAACAAAACAATACATTGGCGGAGTCAATTTACCGGTCTGGGTATGTAATGATTTTTAACAATGGATATCGTTAAATCTGAAACATTGTTATATTGTACACAGGCTTTAGGCGTTCAATAGCATTGTTTTATCTCACGATGTGGCCATTTTTCAAACTGTCATATTCCTATCCGTAGACGTACACTGAAGGAACGAAAAACGGACCCGGTGGAGATCGACATTGAGGAATACGCTGTTAAAGGTAAGCATACTTTTACTTATAAATGTATTGAAATATACAAGTGAGTCAAGATCTTTTAGCTTCATCATAAAATTTCGTTTGATTTCAATCTATGTTCTTGATTCTTCATTATTAAAATTGGAAACTTAACAATGATTGTTATACATAATCTGATGCGAAAGAGAGAACAAAATAGTTCTGCTTGGATTTTGAAGTTTATCACACAAATAATGAAATTTTGTGTTGTTAAGCTGACAAATACTTGAAGAAGAACTGCTTTTAATAACATGGAGCATTGTTAGCTTTATCATTTGAAAAGATTATGTTATATTTTATTGATTACGTTTTACTGACAAAATTTATTCATAATATTGTAACAAAAATGCAAAACATTCAGAAATCTGTACTAAGACTGTATGCAAATTTTTAAATGTAAGACTACAAGAGCAGGTGTCATTCAGATGTTGCAAATATGATTTTTTTCTGTAAATTTGAGCAGATTTTTAAAAGATATTTTATCACGACTAGAAACTTGAACAGTAATCAAAGACTTTTATGATACTGCAGCCTGATCATTTGTTAATTGTATAACTTAAATCATATTTTAAGGTTTAGATGAAACTGAACATATTTATTGATATATCATGAAGCTTTAGAAAAAAAGTCAGTGATCGTATTATAGTCACATCGACAGTTTATTTGTGTATGTACTTCAACTAAGATACACTAAAAGTCCAATTTATCTCGTTATCAATTTATCAATTTAAGTCTTTACATGGTACAAGGAATGCTTTAAAGACAAAAGACATGTGTTCGACTCCTTTCCGTGCTGTTTTGATATCTCCTTTATTTCTAGTGTTTTTGAATTGGAGGTTTGATTTTGTACTTGACTGTTGACGCTGCAGTATTATTTTGACAGTCTTAGTACACAATTTCCATTTATATGAGCATGTAAAATAGTATCTTCAACCAATTTGTTCTTATCGCAAAGATAATTTATACATGTACATGCTACAATCATAGCGTAGGTATACAGTATACATTTATGTTTTATTGTCAATACATATATACACAAAATCTGCTCAGTACTAAATGTACTGAACATGCGATTGTGAATACACCCATCTCACACGCGTGCGTGAGTAAATATAAACCAGAACAATATATAATACAATTGACATTGAGTCATATTAGTGTCAACAATGTAGATCTATAAAGATTTGTTATAATGTGTATTTTTTATATCTATATAATCATGATAAACCTAAGGTATGTTAACCATGTAAATCTATGAATATTGTCTTTAACCTGCTTTTCATAATGCTATTCTTTTGCCAAGCTGGAGGAACCATTCCGTATCAAGATATAACTGCCGAAGCTAATGGCGACCAAGAAAACGAAAACATAGCAGAAACGCCTCTGGATGACGTACCGACAGACGACCAAGCTGCACTTGTTGACAATCAACTCGATTCGGTGGACACTACACCAGAGGTAGTGGCTCCACCACCAACAGAAATAATAGTCGAGAAAGAGGAGAGGGATGCAGATACCAACGGCGAAGAAACTGAGGACGATAATGATGAAAACTATCCCGATGGTGATGTCGGAAAGACAGATGTAAACGATTCTGGTATAGGAGTTGCAACGGCAGCACTGATCCCAACACCGGCGACAACAGCTGCAACTAAAGGGGGTTCCGATCCTCCAATTACAATGACTCATGGGTTTGCGTTACCAGAAATTGTTGGAACAAGGATTTTATTGTCAGGATTTGTAACTGCCGTTAAAAACAGGAAGGAGTTAGGGAATTTGGCAAATGAATTTAAGGTAACTTCGATTTTATGTCTTGAGTAATTTTCATATTGTTCCAACAAACATTCAAATGATGTCATAGAAAACGTGTTTTCATATATGTACCGTTTATACTGACACATCCTTATTCTATGTTAATACTTAAAATGCATTTATTTCCATTTATTAATTCATCATTAATATTGTGCATCAATCACGTAGTGTTCGTTGCAAAAAATATATAAGGGATTATTCATCCACGACACCTTGGATAAACCTGCTTGGAGTTGGTAACACATTGGACATTATTTCATTAGTCAATCTTCTATATAGGACGTCAAGTAACAGTACTTGCGGTGTCATCTTCTATTGTGACGTCATAGTTCATGGCGTTTGTTTCTCTGACTGGAAACCGGAGTAATGTTTTCCCAAGAGAAACATGTGGTGTTATGTTTATATAGATATAATATCTGAACGTTTTTGGAGAAAATGTTTCCCATACTCGTGATGGTTGATTATCATGTTTGTCTAGTTAATTTGTTAGTTAATTTTCAAATTGTTAAAAGACACTCGATACAAACCGTGTCTTGAAACATTTTGAAATTTAACTTACTTTGAGACGACCTAACAACTAGGTTGTGATATAGCGGTTTATAAGAACCACGAATCATTCTTTTAGGAGACACGGCAGTCTAGTTGTAGGACGCCGGGCTCGTGACCGAAGGGTTGCGGGGATCGAGTCACGGCACGGCACTGTGTTGTATCTTTGAGCAAAATACTTTACTCCACTTGTTCCAGTCTACTCAGCTGTAAATGAGTACTTGCTTCGGCAGTACTAGAATTGTTGAATGCTAGCTGTGAGCACCTGAATGGCAGCACCGGCTGTATACTCAACAGGGATAGAGTTGAGAAAGATATTGGTTGGTTGCAAAGGCCCTATAACCACGGATAATAATTTGTGAACCGCTTTGCGACGACCTACGAACTAAGTTGTGATAAAGCGGTATATAAGAACCTCGAGTTATTAATATTATTAATTTACTCGAGTTAGATACTTGTTAACATGATAACCAACCATCACTCGTTGAGGAACCTCTATATCTATTTTGTATATTTACCACTTTGACAACCATCCACCCTATACATATGACAAACACCACTAACGACTTAATCTGTAAAGAAGCGGTTTGGCAATATCTTACACTTTTTCGTTACCAGACAAGGCAACTGACACATATCTTAATGACCAGAAGCAAATAGATACTTTCTCTATCTGCAGAATTTACCTGAAGGTCCTCAGCGTCCAGTCACAGAAGGCAAAAAGTCGGAAAATAAGGAGAAGAATAGATTCAGAAACATTCTTCCATGTAAGTTATATCAGTGTAATCAATATATCCGTGTATTTTGTGCATGTTCTATGCTGTTCGCTCGCAAATTTAGGAAACATTCAGTTTCAACTTTCAATAAAATAACAGGTTGCCATTTAACTTATTTTTTCGAACCTCCGTACTTATATACTAGTCAAAGTTTGTTATTGCTAAGGCTTGCAATGTGACTAGCGTGATTGTTTTTGTTTTCGATTACATATGAGCGTATATATTATCAAGAGTTTTCGTTTGGTGTCTCTTGATTTGTTTCTTTTCTTATTTCATATCAGATTTACATACAATGATATATTTTAATTTTTGTATTATGTGTGTTTTTGAAATGAAGATGACCATTCGAGGGTTGTACTGGAGAAAAGCACCGGCGGAAGTGATTATATAAACGCCACCTATATTGATGTAAGTTCAATACGGATAATTATCAATGTGGAAATACGAATATCATTCAAATAGATGTTGTTCTTTTTTTCAAAATATTTCATCAGATGTAATATTATCTCTAGATATATTATTTTCGAGATAATGCTATGTGTATTAGAAACAATAATAAATATTGCCAAAATATTTTTTTAAGATTATGAAAACGGTAAATACAAAATTATAATGGAGTTGCAATTTCATTTGAATTTATGAAACTTGTTTTCTTAATGATATTGAATGGAATTTTTTTCAAGAGCCTTCTTGTCACATAGGCACCAGGTTTTGTCAAAAGTCCTACAAAATAGTATTCCTTTCACCTTAAGCTTTGCAATCTTATGACAACTTTATCAAAAATTGTATTCAATTGAACGTCACTGTGTTCTCTTAAAATTGATTGCGTTATGGCTATTATCTGCCTCATTAGGCTGTAACGATAGGATATATCACATGACGTAGTGCATAAATCAATATTATATGAGTGTAATCACTTTCTAACGTGATTGCCACATTATTAAACCTGTAACTACACATTTGAAACTGATTTTAACGGTTAAGGCTACCGCTCCTGAAAAGAATACCATAGCTTGAGGGATTTTTTTAAAATATAAAGATATAATAATAAAGATGAATTAACAACATATCATCAACAACAATGTTTCAAAGTGTAAGCTTTGTATTTTATGCATCGGAATATGATTATTCCATGTTAGAAATGTAATAATAGTACCTATTTTGAGAATCCGTTTTAAATTGTGTGATTTTTTTTACAGGGAATGGACAGTGAACGACAGTACATTGCTACGCAAGGTTTGTGAAGAACAAGTAACCAAATAGAGACCTCACATATATTGGTGTTTTTTTCTTAATTGCTCAACTGTACGTCTCATGAACTCGAATATATGATTCAAACATAAATGAATTTTAAGTGCCAAGCATAATTGCAATATCTCGCTTTCAAATTTTCGTCGGATCATTATATTGTTGTACCAATATATTTTCCCTAAATGACTTAAATGTTTGATGTGCCGTAAATCAATACAAACTCCTTTGTTTCGTTTTCTCATTTCAATCGTTTTCATGTCTATTTCAGGGCCAAAGGACGACACAGTGGCTGCCTTCTGGCAGATGATATGGGAAAACAACAGTGGGAAAGTGATCATGTTGGCTAATCTGACAGAATTGGGCAGGGTATGGTTTACATCGATGTTTTATTATTCTTAATCACTATCATACTAGTTGCCCAACAAAAAAATGTAGCAATAATACAGTGTATCCCTGTTTATTTTGTTCCTTATATTTTGTGTTTGAACAACATATCCATCTGTTTTCGTATTTTGTACCTCACTTACCCCTGTTTTCCTAGCAATATCTGGAAACACACAATCATACTTTGACAAGTTGCATTTCTTATACCATAGCTCATTGGAGAACGGGAACGATGTTTGTATGATTTTCTCTCTACGTATACAAAAATGTTGCTGATGTGTAGCGGAACTAAACTTAGTCGATCGCCGGTTACTAGGGAACTCAAATATTTTGAGACTCTCCGTCTATATATCAGAGGTCATGTGGTCGAATCCCGGTCTGGCCGTGTGATTTTCCCACTCCTAATACAGTGTGTTTTTTTTACCAACCATTGTTTCAAGTGTTGTGTGTTCACCTGTCACGAGAATACCCGAACCTTGATTGTAAATAGCTCTTTCTTCGGGGGCAAAAACTTCAAAACAGGGAGGAGCAATGTAGCGATCACCGGCGACCACGTAGCTCGATTTGGTAGAACGTCTGGATAGAGTTCGAAGGTCCCGGGTTCGAATACTTCTCTAGTTGTACATGAATCATCTCCTGTTACATATGTATTTTCATCCCATGCACATGACCTTTTGTTTTTAACATAAAGTTTGCATCGGTGAGATAAAGGTTGCATTAATATAATGTATGTTTATTTGCAGGTTCTTTCTTTGGAATTTTATTTGTTTATATTTATTTCAGCCGAAATGTCACCAGTACTGGCCTAGTGTGTCTGAAACCACCCAATTCGGAACGTACGTAGTTACTACGGTGTCCGAAAAGGAGAGCAGTTGTTTTACTACTCGTGAGATACAGTTACAGCGTGCTCAGGTACGTACGTTTATACCAGCCAATTGTTACTTACCAGGTTGTTGTCCCACATCTGGACACTGTACCCCGCCAGCCCACTGTCCCACAACAAGGCACTGCTCCACACGAAGCAACAACCGCACACCAAGATAAGTCCTAAACCAGGCTTCCGTACTTCTCCAGACTACTGTCGCCACTGCCCCACACCGAGCAACAACCTCACCCTAGGCTACTACCCAAAGCAAGACCTCTGTACCACTCCAGACTAGTTCCCACAAATCCACAAACTGCATCCAGCAACAAACCAATTAGAACATTGTCCCACAACAAACCAAATTATTACACCAAGCAACAACCTCACACTTGGACACTATCCCACGCCTGATCAAAGTCCAACATTAAGCCACAACCCCACGCCTGGTCACTGTCCCATACATGGTCACTGTTCCAGACCTGGTCACTGTCCCACACCTGGTCACTGTCCCACACCTGGTCACTGTACCACTCCTGGTCAATGTCCCAGACCTGGTCACTGTCCCACACCTGGTCACTGTCCTACACCTGGTCACTGTCCTACACCTGGTCACTGTCCCACACCTGGTCACTGTCCTACACCTGGTCACTGTCCCACACCTGGTCAATGTCCCACACCTGGTCACTGTCACACGTCAATCTACAGTCCAACACCAAGCAACAACCCCACACCAATCCACTGTCCCACAACAAGCAATTGTCCTACATCAAGTCACAACCTCTCATAAGGCCACTGTTCCACACCTGGCCACTGTCCTACACATGGCTTCCGTAAAAAAGGAGTGAAAGTTCGTACCCCAGTTAAAGGCATTGCCGTTGACGATTTTAATGTAGTTGTTTGGCGCTTTTTTTATTGATTTACAATCAATCAAACCCTTGCTAAACATTTTGATTTTGATTTCCATTTCATAATTATGTCATTTAAATATGAAATTGTGGAAAATGTCCATCAATTTAAAGATTTGTTTTTCAAGAAATATCTAGAACTTCGTTCCGAATGAGGGTATTATTGCGTTAAGCGGCATGAATGCAAATTCATGGATCTAAAATATGTTTTCTTCGATTACTTTGATCTTGTTTTCGTTTTTATTAATTTTCTTTTTTATTGCATAAGTACAAATTATACTCATTTGAATTTTATTAAAAGTCTGATTTTGACATGTGTCCGGATTGAGACAGCTTGCATTGTATTGACTATTGTTTATCAGGATAAGACCACGACTAGAACGATACACCAGTTACACTTCACGACCTGGCCAGATCACGATGTCCCCACTGTCGAGCAGCTGCTCAGTTTCCATAGCAGTTCCACAAACATTCAGACGCCGCTACAGGGACCGGAAGTAGTTCATTGCAGGTAACAACTAGAAACCGGAAATCGTTAACCTAATGTACTAAATAGAATGGTCTGTTTTACAAATGATTTGTATTCCATACATCATAATATATTGCCTTGTTAATGAGGGAGATTATGATTTACACTGATATGTTAGTACATACTATTGGCAGATTTTCACATTAATTTATACATCACCACACACTTGTAAACAAAATATGTCTGTAAGCGCCCTATCATACAGTTGTAATGAAAATATGCCTGTAAGCGCCCTATATAAATACCATTGAACGATACCGTATACTGTAAACGATCACATTTTAGCGCATTGTTGATTTATAACAAATAAACACATTGATCAATTGGCGCAACCAAAATAAATGCTACAGAAGATAGTTTATGGAAAATGCAAACTAGCACATATATAATCTAACGAAATATTAAAAGCGCGCAAAGTGCTAAAATAACGTTACCGCTAAAAATCATGTAAGCTTACAGTATCAGCCTTACAAGGATACTGTTTGTTTGAGTGACTACTAAACTAAATATCAACAAATTATCTTAACACATAACTTTTCCAAGTTAAAGATGCGTTTATATCTTTAGCAAAATAGAGAAAAGTATGTATAAAGCCTTTCATTTGTCTTATATTGTGTAACAGCGCCGGGGTAGGTAGGACTGGTACCTATATCGGCCTGGACGCGTTAACGAAACACGGACGGTATGCTGCCTCTCTAGATGTATACGAGTATACACTCAAGATGCGAAAAGACCGAATGAACATGATACAGACAGTGGTCAGTATGGGTTTGCATAGGATTTGTCTGTAATGATTGTGTGTATGGTTAGTGTTTATAGATTGTGTGTATGGTTAGTGTTTATAGATTGTGTGTATGGTTAGTGTTTACAGATTGTGTGTATGGTTAGTGTTTATAGATTGTGTGTAAGGTTAGTGTTTATAGATTGTGTATATGGTTAGTGTTTATAGATTGTGTGTAAGGTTAGTGTTTATAGATTGTGTGTGTGGTTAGTGTTTATAGATTGTGTGTATGGTTAGTGTTTATAGATTGTGTGTATGGTTAGTGTTTATAGATTGTGTATATGATTAGTGTTTATAGACTGTGTGTAAGGTTAGTGTTTATAGATTGTGTGTGTGGTTAGTGTTTATAGATTGTGTGTATGGTTAGTGTTTATAGATTGTGTGTATGGTAAGTGTTTATAGATTGTGTAAGGTTAGTGTTTATAGATTGTGTTTAGGTAAGTGTTTATAGATTGTGTGTATGGTTAGTGTTTATAGATTGTGTGCATGGTTAGTGTTTATAGACTGTGTGTGTGGTTAGTGTTTATAGAATGTGTGTATGGTTAGTGTTTATAGATTGTGTGTATGGTTAGTGTTTATAGATTGTGTGTATGGTTAGTGTTTATAGATTGTGTGTATGGTTAGTGTTTATAGATTGTGTATATGGTTAGTGTTTATAGATTGTGTTTAGGTTATGTTTTGTGTATGGATTGTGACTGTTAATAATTGTATGGTTTGTGTATTGACAGTGTGTATGGATTGTTTATAGTTTTCGTTGGGAGTAAAGTTTTCGTGTATTGATAATTGTTTGGTTTGTTTGTTGTTTTTGTGGTTTGTAAAATTTCGTGTATTGTTTATTGTTTAGTTTGTGTGTATTGATAGTGTGCACGGATTGGTGGGTTTTTTCGTGATGTGTAACGTTTTCGTGTATTGATAATAGTATGGATCGTGTATTGATAGTGTGTATAGATAGTTTGTTGTTTTTGTGAGGTGTAAAGTTTCCATGTATTAATAATTGTATAGTTTGTGGGTTGATGTTTGTGTTTTGGTCTGTATAGTTTTTTACGTAAAATTTGTGTATGGTTTGTAAAAAAAAAAATGTCAATAAGGTACTTTTTTTAAATATTGTTTATGCATGATGTGATTATTGTTTATGAAGATATGTTTTGGGTGTGGTTCATATTTTTGTTGTTACATTGTTATTTTTTTGTGAAGATTTGATATATTGAAACCACATATTGTATGTCGTGCAGGAAATATGTATCTTTCTGTATCAGACAGTTTCGCCTTCGGGTTATTCATGAGGGTGCACAGTGTGTTCCCTTTCAGTTTTTCCTTTTTGTATGTATGTCTATGATAAAAAATCCTATAAGCATTTCCCTGACGCGTTGATGTCTTATCAACAATATTTTTTCCTTCACTTTAAAGGAACATTCCCGGTTTCGAGGTACAAAATATTGTAAAAAATGTGACCACTTAATAAAAAGAGAGTATGTCGTCATCAAATATCACAATAGTATTGCTCATGTTTCAAGCGCCTTTGAAGGCACGGTGAATGTGCTCTTTTTTACACCTTTTCATACGGTAGGAAGGAGTGAAAGAATTATTAATCACTGTGATCTAGAAATCTCAACACTAGAACAGCATGTAGTGCTGGTACTGGACCTCCAAAATCTAAACCTCGTGTTTAACTCATTCACCCCTGAAATTTCATAATGAACTATTCCAACCTTTGATTTGGAAGAGTTCAAATGTGTCTTCAGGGGTGAATGAGTTAAATCTCTCTGGATATTGTCACAAGTCTTGGGCATGCACAAGTCTAAGGAATGTTCAAATATAGGGCATGTGCAAGTCTAGTGCATGTACAAATATAGGGCATGTGCAAGTCTAGTGCATGTACAAATATAGGGCATGTTCAAGTCTAGTGCATTTACAAATTCAGCAGATTGTATACTAACCATATGTTTCTGTATTTCAGCACCAGTACATCTGTCTACATGAAGCGTTGGCGGAGGGGCTGCCGAATGCAACGAGTTAATTCTAGCTTTCCTCACACATTTAATTATTTTACCATCACACAATCGTGTTATTAGATTTTACAAAAACAAAGCCAATCGTCAATTACAAATCGGACTATGACACAGTCAAGTCTCGATAATTTAGCCACCACTGATTCCAGTCAGTGTTTTATGGGACACAAGTTCGTTTTTTTTCCTATTATATGATGTCCATGTAATGCAATAGTCATAAGATGACCGAAGCTCGACTGGATATACCGAAAGAACGATCAACCATTCAATCGTTAGAATTTCAGTCTATTGGAAAATTCCACTAGCCACTTTACTGTATAGGTCGTCACAGATCATTACGGATCAATCATCAAAAATAGTGTACATAGGTTTTTATGAAGAATTCAGTATACTGATGTATTCACGAAAGTTAAGTAAATTGCGGTTAAGGGTCGCTGCCCAATTGCAGCTGAAACACTAGATAATTCCTATAAGCTTTTCATTAATTTCATTTAGACTATAAATGTAGCGTGACTGGGCCTGGTCCTACCATTGACAAGGTAGTTCAATCAGTAAGAGCGATTGTCTAATGATCGGAGGTTCAGGGTTCGAACCCCTAGTCTGTTTCGTAGCACTTCACACTCAGCACGCTGTTGCTGATATTTTTACTTATATATATATATATATATATATATATATATATATATATAACTCTTTTCACGTAAGTTCCGCGAGGTTTGCTTAAGTTTTCAGAAAAGTAATTATCAAAGTTGAAATCATGCCGGAAAAACTAGTTTAAAATGCATTATTTAAAGTAGTGTTTATTGTGTCGTCCTGAAATGGGCCGATATAGCGATGTCCATTATTAGACTATTATTTTAATGGAACTGGTTATACCATGTTTTATCTTAATCCATGTACAAAACACAATATTGCTTATTGTTGTGATATCAGTTAAGCGAATAGACCACAGAGATCCCGTTTGAGGAAGCAGAATTAATTACTGAGACACTGTTAGTTCTGAGGTGTGTTCAAGCTAAATCCAAATTTGAATGCTTGGTGTCAACTTACTTTTACCTCGGTGTGTTACTTTTAATCATATAAGTCCTGCCCCGATAATACCGGAGGGAACTTAATGCATTCAGTGCGTAAATTTGTTTGGGGAATAAATATCAAATCACATGGTACCTATAATTTCCAAATTTTGTACCCGAGACCCTTGTAGAATGGCAGAGTGTGGCGTAGCGGAATCATATTTCGTACTCCAGTTTATACAGAGTTATGGTCCTTTCTTCATCGTACGTCCCTTTACCCAGGGCATATTTGTTATAATTTTGTCAATGACAGTATTGCCAAAGAGCACCTCTTGAAATGGGAGGAGTGTAACTGTTGCATCCCGGAATAGGATATCGTGTTTAACTATATACAATTGGTGGTCCTTCGAAAATAGTGCATTACTTTGTGCGTGACATATATCGTATAATCTGTCTTCTACAATTGCTAATGTTTTATGTAAATACGTTTTGTAATGCCAGAGTGTCGCGTATAAAATATGATCATGTGCTTGCACCGTTTCACTTTGGCCGGGGCATCTTCTATACTCTATCACCATAGAGTACCAAAGTTTGTCCAGATGCGTCGGACTACGGAAAACTCGTAATACTTCACATTTAAATAGAAGGAATAATCATATTTAGTTTGAAATAATTTTGACTTTAAGGTTAAAAATATATGTATTATATAACACGTCATGTAATGTTATTTACGCTTTTATTTGAAGTATTTTTTGTCAAAACTAACACTGAGTTAAGAAACAGTATAATTGTTCACCAAAAACATAAATACATCCTTTTTACTAGGTATGAATGCGTAATTTTGTTAATGAAAAAAAATCCTATTTATCAAATGAATGATGTCGACGTAATTGAACATGAGGCTACGGATGCATAATTTATTTTTTCCTGTGTTTTTGTACATCTGGAAATCAAATGCGTCTTTAAGTTACAGTATATTAAAAAGGGTATTAATTAGATTATTTTTAATTTATTATTACACAAAGACGACAAGCATACTATGTAACCTGAATATACAATATCTCAGTGTACAACTAAAATCGTTTAGTTTAATATTTACATCTCAATTTATTCATTTAATTTTTGATTTATGCCACTGTGTGATGTCATTCAATTTTTAAAAAAATTGAGAAACATGTAATAATAATAATAGTCTTTATTTAAACTCGATTACATATTGAGTCAACGACGCGTCTCCAATATGATCAAGCATATTAAAAAAATGTACATTATATACAACAGATCATGTAAAGACTTATTATGTAAAGACATATCATACCATTATTATACAGTGTATATGATGACTATACCGCATTGTTATTAATTTGAATAAAAGTTGAATAAAATTATCTATGAAGACCATAGAGGGTCTAAAGTCAGGAAATATGCATTTATGAAGATTATATAGACTAGAGGACAAGCTTGATTAGCTATTTCCGGACCCACACTCACTCAACTCTTCCATGCTGATGATGATGACATTGATGATGAAGATGCTCGTTTTCAATTTAAGGGACGAACTCTCACGTAAATTATTTCGTTTACAAATGCAATCATCAATGTTAGAATATGTTAACTGTTGTTTTTTTTGCACACAAATACGTTCATTTGACAACTAAGTATAGACAGATCTTTCGATTAACAATTAATAAGTCTAGCTATATTTCTGGAAAACAAAACTTCCTACGCAATTCCAAAATTTAAGCCATAGAATATATTCATATATTTATATTTTGTCTTTAAATGTAGTCTACATTTCAATAGTTCACCCCACCTGCAAAATTATGTCTCTGTAAAAAATAATGTATGTAACAACAATAAAGCAGTACCAAAGATCAAAAATACTACATGAAAATAAAGGATGTACTGAAAGTAACCATTGTCAATTATGGAACAGGACACGCCTACCGTTCCGGACACCGGGTTATAATCGAGTTTTCCTGATGTTGCTGGATTTCTGTTCGACTTTGTGATTCGATTTTATCCTTGTTTGTTGCCGCTATAGTATTTTTTTTTCCTAAATTCCTAATCAATATTCTAACATATTGTTTTATTTTCTTACAATCTGTGTTCAACGGGATATTTTTTCGAGTCTCGGTTAAGAATCTAGAAGTTTTCTTTTGGTAAAATATCAGCAATACTGCAACGTTCTCGTTCATATCATTTTACTCCGTAATTGAAAACGTGAAACATATTATCAATCCTAAGAATTAATTAACGGTCATCTGTGTTATTAACTCGTGCAATTATCAACACATTCATTTATTTATGTAGTAAAATGAAGTATTGTATACCGGGAAACATTCGCCTAGTCAATCATTCGCCCTTCACCCATAAAATCAACTTTCGCCTGAGTTAATTTCACCCTTTATATTAAATTGTATATTATACTGTCTATTTCGCTGTAATAAAATTAATATACTTGCCCTCAATACACAGGGCAAAAAAAGGCGAACGTTAAATTGCGACGAAAATTTCCCAGTGTACTGTATGCACCAAGTAGCAAATATCTCCTACTTGTTTAAATAAAACAAAGAAGATTACCAATTAAAAACAATTTTTTAATTAACATTTACAATGTATGAATCAAATCAAACAAATAAATAATTCTTACACTCTGGTTGTCCATTTCTTCCCACATTCCTTTCTTTATCCCTAAACACCCACATTCATGAAATGACTAGAATGCAATCTAAGATGAATAAGAACCATCACGTTTCATTTACTCAAAAAAAAGTGAAACAGTTTCCATCTCAAAGTATTCAATAATTTCCAAACGTGAATAGTTGATCAACATTGGCAGTTATATTTAGTTTCTGATTGCAAATTCAAATTCATCTGATATATTTAACATTGCTAAACATTTAAACCATAAAAACATCTATGTCATGTAAATGATTGCTTGCGATGGTTTTATAACACATTATTTTCAAAATACTACCAAATACAAAGTATAGCTTACTACAGATTCTACAGTGTAACAAAACATCACTAAAGATAAATGATTCCTCACTGAAATATATGCATCTTCTCTCGAATAGGTTACTAAATTAAGATTCTATAAAACATACTTGTATATGAAAATTTGGACTGTGTAAAATGATGCTAATAAAAAGATTTTAAAAGGAGCTAATCCTAACAGATCGCAGGTAAAGCGTTTTGAGAAGCACATATCTTAAAAGCGACCCTTTCCCAATTTTATTTCATTGTGTTTTATGTGATATCTGTTTGGTATATTATTCATTTTACTAGAAACTCTTAAACACCATTAACATATCTTTATCTTCATGAAGACATCGCATTTTACTTGACATTCATCTACATAATAATACCATACTTCCTTTAATGAAGTAACATGCTGTTACATACATAATAAACTAAAACTTGAACATTTTTAAACAACATTATCATGACAACATATGACACAGGTTCACAAAGCAATGTTCTCCCTTACAATAGGAACATAATGGTGTACTAGTACCAAAGTGGGTACATTCATCTATCGCAGCAACATTAATAAGATAAATATTTACTAACAATTCAGTAACAAATCATCTTTCAATATCAACGCAAGTCATATCTCACAAACAATCTATGAAATATCGATGCTCATTAACGAGTCATACTGTACCAGTATGCTTATTTTCTATAGATAATAACGTTTTGTATACCAACAACCAATGAATATCGACATCAGATATTAAAAACTTCCTCTCCAGTAATCCAACGAAAAAAATAACTTATACATCAATCTGCGCGGAATCATAACATGAATAAATTGCATTTCTTTCAAACAGTAGATATAAAATTTCATTCCTGCTCTCATATCAATTAATTCGTTATACGTCAACAAAGTAACACATGTTTTTTTGTCACACTGTTTCCACAACAAAAACTGTCAGAAGTTCATGGTCATAGCATTTTATAAAAACATTACCGTAAAACAAATATTTTCCAAAGTCATTAATGTTTACGTTAACTTGCAAAGCGACTCGATCATCGATTGGAATATTTCGCGGATATCATTTATCAGATTTTTGTCAAAGAATTGATTTCAAATTCCCGCAAAGGCGTTCTATGAAACAAGCTCGCTTAAATGAATATTTACGAAAATAAAGTGTTTTACAGTAGCAATTATTGTATTTAATCGATAATAAATTCAATATCAAAAATGTTGAGATTCAAACCAAATACAGTAAGATCAATATCAGGAAAAAAATAACTTTTTATGACGTAAACATTGAAATGCATTGATTATTACGACCCTTTCACTTCCGTCCCGTGGCTTAAACATAGTACAGATGAGCATAATAAATAATAACACACACTATTGTATATCTACAGAAAGGTGTGAAAGTTAAATATGATTAAACGAACATATATATGTATATATTTTATCACACGATATACTGACAACATCTCATGCAGAACAATAAACCTGATACCGATTCCCTATAATGAAATGAAAATCTATTTTTACACAACATCACATTCATGGGAGCTAACATCAAAATATGTATAGCTGTCTCGGCACATTTACAAAACATTGAGCATAAATTGTGATATTGCATGCTTAAATGAATACATTGATTGAATTTTTAAATACTGAGATTGCTTTCCATGTAAATCATAACAAAAAAACAATTGTTCTTTGTCATACACTTCTGCATGTATAATGAACACCTCGATTTGAATCATTAAACTATAAAGTAAGTTGCATCCAGTCTGTGTTATAATAATAATTTTTGTTTCAAATATGTCTCCATAAAAATCAATTTTAAGAGAATTTTATAGATGGTAGAACATCTTTGATTGTCATAGTAATGATTTTCGAAGAATGTCTTTAAAAAATAGCAAGTTTCTCATATGACATTTCTGTAAGTGCGGTCTTGTAAAATTAAACAGGTTTAAAGAGGGTTTCATAGATAAATAAAATACGAATAAATGAATAAACATTCTAAATACTACTTCAAACAAACACACATATTAAAAATGTGATCTGCATTGAAATTGCAAAGTATAAACGAAATATGGAATGCTACAAACATTACTCATAGCTAAAATCATTATGAATACAAAAGAACGGATTCTGTACCAATTGTTTAAATACATCAGCTGTCGGCAATAATCAGTAAATGCATACCACGTACAGGTCAAATCTTCCACGACACTATCTGATGAACACGATTTTATTTTAAAAGTTTGTTAACTCATTCACTCCTGAAGTTTTATAATGAACTATTCCAACCTTTGAATTGGAAGAGTTCAAATGTGTTTTCATGGGTGAGTGAGTTAAAGAACGGTCTGGATCAGTTTTACGTTTACAAATGAACTTAATACAAACGCATGTTTCTACTAAAGCTGACTCCTGGTCAGAATTATAAATAGTTAGCCAAGTAACCAAATGAAATGTCGTACAATAGCACAAGGTATGAAACAATGACTTTATAAAAACATTGGGATATGTACGATCAAGGTATAAAACAATTACTTTACAAAAACAATGGGATATGTACAATGTATCACATACTAGAAGCATAACAGATATATCAATAAATACAGGTATTATCAGTATATGTAATACATCGGTATTATCTTAATCCTCAAATGTCCTGAAGAGCTTAAATAAATAAAGGCATTGGATAAAGCTTCTTTATTTCCTAAATTTATTTCCCGTATCTTCCGAACTATTGTGACTTATTTTTCATAAGAGCATGTTATCAAGAAGGAACTTGTACAATGTCATCAAAATATTGAGCACAACTCAAAAACGAAAACAAACATATACAGCAACACTTGTGACGTTACGTTGTTTACTTTGCGTTGTAGTTGTCGTTTCTAGGTGGGAAGATGGAGACGTTGTTTACTTTGCGTTATAGATGTCGTTTCTAGGTGGGAGGATGGATGCAGTGATCTTAACAATTCGGAGTTTAATATAACATATACAGCAAAAAATATAGTTACAACCTGACTGTAACTACCGATTTTGACATTCTAGAATGTTATAATAGCATTCTGTCAACAGACAACCTATCTTTTAAGACACGGATAACTTTATCAATGTGTTTTCACTGTTACTCACAGTATGTATATATATATATGACTGTGCTTCAAGCGACTTAAAATTGTATAAAAAAAAAACCGATATTATAAAAAATCAATTTAATATATTCTTTAACTGATAAAGTATAAGAAGTTGTATTACTTCGTACCTAACTGTCAGTCATATCTAGGTTCTTTCCATTTTCTATTTCGTTTACTTTAATAAAGAGCAGTCTCAATAACATTTCAACAAATAGAAAACTGGAATTGCATTTCAATTTGTCTTAGAATAAAGCGCGATAAGTTTTGAGTATTTTAATACTGTATAACGCTCGACAGTTTTGAATATTTGTACACCGAATAGCTCTTGCATTTCACAGAAATTGTATTTTCGATATGTTTGCGTCGTGCAAAATATACACGCCGATATAAAGTTATTAACTGGTAACGTTGTTGACCTAAAATACGTCCCAGCGAATTTGTTCCAGAAAAGAAACCACGAAAGTTTAATCCCGCAAAATTAAAGCGTTCTACAGTATCTCAAATAGATCACGCTACTGAACAACAAATAATAACAGTGCATTGTTTAAGTGATTAACATATCAAACAACGGACAATATATTAAACATGATGATCAGCTAAACTGTAAAAACTGTCATTTACGTGAATCTTTTAACGTTTAACAGTAGTGTGTCTGACGGGTTTAGATTGAGAAAAGGTTCAGGAAAGCCTCTGGTGAGAGTGGGCGGGACTTAGCCTCCTGGTCACTGATACAGGGATGACCAATGGACTGCAATATAAAAAGGAATAGAAACTAGTTATTACAGCAGTAGTTAACACAGATAATGATGACACTACTATACAGAGGACGTGTACAGTATTAACCTACACAGAAAATGGTGACGAAACTATACAGAAAACGTGTACAATACTAATCTACACAGAAAATGATGACGATACTATACAGATGATGTGTACAATACTAATCTACACAGACAATGATGACGATACTATACAGAGGACGTGTACAATACTAATCTACACAGAAAATGATGACGACACAATACAGAGGACGCGTACAATCCTAATCTACACAGAAAATGATGAAGATACAATACAGAGGACGCGTACAATCCTAATCTACACAGAAAATGTTGAAGATACTATACAGAGGACGCGTACAATACTAATCTACACAGAAAATGATGACGATACTATACAGAGGAAGTGTACAATACTAATCTACACAGAAAATGATGACGATACTATACATAGGACGTGTACAATACTTATCTACAAAGATAATGATAACGATACTAAACAGAAGAACTTAATAAATCCAGACAACTTGTTTTCTTCTGATTAAAGATCTGGAATAAAGGAATGTTCTCATACAACTACCACAAACGTGTTTTTTTTAAATAAAGTAAATATAAGATCACCGTATGTAGATTTTCCAAATCCCGCAGTCCAGATTAATAAAAAATAAGTGATATTTGGCATGCGTTACTATTAGTAGTATCATGTATAAGTCTATGAACACTCTTGATACGAGTATGTATGTATCTATAAGCGAATCTATGAAATGTTACCATTCAAATAAGACGCCTTTTCTTCGATAATCTATAATGAAAGTTAACAGAATTCTACAAACCTGCCAGAACAGAGTATCACAGTGATGGCATATAGCCAGGGTATCTGCATATACATCTTTCTTCCCAAACCGCCTGGAAAAAAAAAGTAAAAGACATCTAGAACAGTGAAAGAGACTCGTTTTCAACCATTGCCGTTTCACAGTTCTACTACAAACCAAGGAAACACTCCTGTTTTAAAGCTTTCAGAACGGTTGATGTAATACTTATGACTTCAGAATACTTTTTACTTGTGTATACTGATTGAGTGATTCATTATTATTTATTTTTTAACAGTAACGTTGACTTGATATTGCTACTGTCTGGTTTACTTTCAACCCTTTTCTAGGAGTGGCATGGATGACGTAACCATCAGACCAGATACCACATACTAACATGATTATTTCTCACCACATCGTGTTATCGTCCAAATATACAGGCTTCGTTGTCTTTAACTCTGATTTGAAAGGCACCGTGTTTCAATTTCTACTGATGTCAGTAAAGTCGACATAATCGTGTATTTGCAACAGACACAACAGCGTTACACAGGTTGCCAACTAAATACTTCTCCATAAACCGTGATCAGGGACTTTCTCAATATTTGCTTTTAATCTTATTCTAGAACTAACTGGAAAACGTTTTCGATACAATTAAGTATGTACACAGGTATCGGACGAAATATCGTAGTCCTCACTAAATGATTACCAACAACTCTTGTAACGGTACTGAATATTCTTTTGAATATAATGATGTATATCTGTTTCTATAGAATGAGTGTTTATTTATATATATACATATTTGTGGTTTAAGTAAATGGACTCGTCCATGCATCATAAACAGGCATATTTATTCAGGATTCCTGTCCCATTACACTGTGGTTTTTCGTATATACAAGTAACGTTCCTTTAATTTCGTTTCTCTTTGGATTTAATGTAGCATAGTTTGGCCAGGACACTTCCATTGACCAGGTAGCTCAGTTGGTTATAGAGCTAGTACAACAATCTGAAGTCCAGAGTTCGAATCCCGGTCTAACTCCGCTCGATTTTTACACCCAAAACGTTTTCGTTGATTATATTTTGTTTATTTGATCTTTGTTGTTTCAGAAAAGTCCAGCAGGCAATAGGTTTTTTCTGAAATGATTTATTAAAGCTATAATTATGCGGGAAAGACAGTTGTTTCCAGTGCGCAATTACAGCTTTAAACAGTGGTACGGGGATCTCTAACATGCAAATTTTCATAGCAGTTTTGGGATAATGTTAATTAAAGGTGTGTACACTAACTTGACACTGCGTTTGTAGATGTACTTCCAGTCGATACACCTCTGTCCTGTCTCCAGCTCCTTGGGGACGAAAGTAATGAGCTGACGGTCGGTGAAGTGGAAGAAGCAGAGCTGTTTCCAGAGAGAATTTTCCTCGGCGATGATGAGGTTGGATGATGACGTCATGGCTATGTGAAGGACGTCCTTGTGATCTGAGAGACGCTCGAGGATACACCGTACACAGTCCTGAGGCAGGTCCTGGAACATTGCCATACCGTCGTCTGCTCTCTACAAAGTAGCCAAGACAAAGATGTACCACAGCGTCAACGTACACATCCTCCTTATCAAGGGGTTACGCTCATTCGCTCAGAGAGCGCAACCCCTGGAGTACAAACAATCCCACGGATCAGCTCACAGAACAAAATGTAGCACTGAGCCAAAATACAGGGACAAAATATACCACAGCATCAGCGTCAACACCAACAGACAAAATACAACACAGCATCAACATAAAAGGACAAAATACACAACAGCATCAAGTTGCAAGGAAAAGGGATACAACAGCATCCAAATTCAAGGACAAAATGTACCACCCCATCCACATTCAAGGACAAAATATACCACACCTTCAAAACACAAAGACAAAATAGCAACTCGAAGTTGATCAGAAAAGACAATACACAATCCCTGTGGAAATCCACTTTTATTGATGGACTCTTTCCTTTTAGAAATTATTGCGTTGCTGTATAAGCCAATCAAAAGCGACGTTACAAACGGCGACGTCATTTTTTACGTTATGGGCTGATAACATACATTTTTAATCCAATGAAAATGCTTGTTACAAGCCAGATTAAATTATATACAAATACTATCTTTTGAAGAACTCTACATCAATGATGTTTACCTGCATATTGAAGTTTAACACTTTGGTATGTAGATCCGTTTCTGTTTTAAGTCACCTGTAATTAACACATTTTCCAAAATAAAAATTAAACTGAGGAAAAAAGCTTAATTCTGGATTGATTGTCTAACGATATCCCACACAACCTTTCATACCGAACTTATAATCCAAGCTTATACGTACAGGTTCGACCTTGTATCTGTCGAGTTTTGCGAGCATTTTGTGTACGCCCTGTAGGTGTCTGTGCCACAAACTCTCGCTTCCTATGTGACTGTACTGGCCCTCGTGTAGCGTGCATATCGTGCTGTTGACAAGGTCGCGCGTGCTGGCCACGTTCGTCTTCGTTTTCAGCACTAAAAAAAAATAAAAAATCAAATTCAATGGTATTTGTTGAAAATATATCTGTTCGCTTAATTTGTGTTTCATTCAAACCCAATGCATGTATACGTGACATTCATAGTTAAGAAACGAGGCATGCGCCTCCATTTTCTTTTTCTTTTGGTATTTTATATGGTGCTATGTCACGTGAGATACTTCCAATAAAGCATGTCGTCGTAATTTCTACGTTACAAATGATAGAGGAAGAATCCCATTAGGCTTAGAACTACATCAATGTTTAGCACTAACAGTACAATCCCTCTAGTCCAAGACAAGTAGATTCCATAGTTGACCATTGAATTGCCTCTTCACTGCTATGCAAAAACAGATTTTGTCTGTTTTTAAAGTTTAAGAAAACTAAAAGTGGTTCCAAACACTTTTCTTTTACTAATTCGCGAGAATTACAATACATATTACAATATCTTTATTCTTGATAAAATAAACACAAGACATTTATAATCGAGATATATTGCTCTGCGGGGGCCTTTCAACCATGAGACCACTCTGATACTGTGCTCAAGACCAATTACTTGTCCGGTGGTACATAAATAATTTTCACATTTCTTCAATGCAAAGAATGTTGAAGAGACTTAACGAGACCCAAAGTTTTAACGTTTCACACGATTAAACGAGCAAAAAGAGAGTTTGTGCAGGCACAGGTACATGCAGTAGTATTAGAACGGTTTCATGAATAAGAGGCACGGTAGTCTATTGGTAGGACGCCGGGCTCGTGACCGAAGGGTTGTGGGTTCGAGTCACGGCACGGCACTGTGTTGTATCTTTGAGCAAGAAACTTTACTCCGCTTGTTCCAGTCTACTCAGCTGAAAATGTGAACTTTGTTGGGAAGTGCTAGAATTGTAGAATGCTGGCTGTGAGCGCCAAAATGGCCAAAAATAGGTTGTGATAAAGCGGTATAGAAGAACCTCGAATTATAATTATTATCAATATTACAAAGAAGACCTGATTTTAACAGCAACAGCATGAAACTTGAAAATAAGAACGTTGTTGGTTTGTGCTAGAATTGTTGAATGCTAGCTGTGAGCGCCGAAATGGCAGCACCGGCTGTATGCTACCTAGGGAGTTGAGGAAGACATTGGCTGGTTGCAAAGGCCCTATAACCACGGATAATAATTTGTGAACCGCTATGAGACGACCTACGAACTAGGTTGCGGTATATAAGAACCTGTAATTATTATTTTTTATTATTATTATTATGAATATAGATATTATACTTAGTACCAGTAAGTTACATATCACGAAATGACAGTAGTTTACGGTATGTTACACAGTGATGAAATTGATCAAAACTCACCCTGGTTGACCATTTCGTCCAGTATGTTGATGATGCGTTTCTGTGACGTACCACTCATGCTTGTAAGCTTTCCACACAGCAGTATCTGTAGTACCTGTAACGGGAAATCCAGTATATGTTTGAGTGTAATAACGAGAATTTTCGATTTGTCTTCTTATGGGGATAATTCTGTTTTCAAAATGCAGGAGAAATATTCATACTCAAGAAACTTCATGAAATTTTCTCAGTGCTATTAGATTTAAAGAGACTTCTCTAACTTATTAAACATCTTAAGATACAGACAGCATTTTGGTTTCAATTAGGAAAATGTCAACTCCCAAAGAAGCATATTTTTTTTCAAAATCAATTTATCTTTTCATTCTTATTGTATGAATGATTCTACCAAAAACGTAAAATGTTGCATAAAAACATCCATGCCTGGCACCATAGCAACCCTTCATGACCCCAGTGTTTGTAACATTATTTTTACTTCACATATGCAACCCTATCTTTTACATAATCGTGATTAAGAAATGACCAGTGTCCAGTAGGAACTAACCTTGCATACGTAGTTAAACCTTCTGATGTCCTTGACGGCTCCGGACATGTCCAGATGGACGAATGCTTCACTAAGACTCGTAAGGATCTTCCTCTGTCAAGGTCAAGTAATAGTGATAACGTGTGGGTGTGTACGGGTTCTTCCTCTGTCAAGGTCAAGTAATTATGATAACGTGTAAGTGCGTAAGGGTTTATTCCCAACTATGGCTTAACTGTTTGGGTTCTTTCTTGACTAAAACCAGTCTGCGAGGATTTATATTTAATTTTCGAGATAATGAAATTTCTCAAAGTTTTGTCAATTTCAATTGTATATATAAGGACTCTCATTAAAAGCTTGTCATCAACATATCACTGTGTGGGCTTAATTTTGGAAAGTTTCCCGGTACGAAATATGAATCTACATGTCACTTAATTTACTTTTGGAGACGAGGAACATTCAGACTACCTTCTCAGTATTTTTCAGTCGACAGACATTCGGACTACGTTCTGTCTCAGTAACAAAAAGTCAAGGAACTTTGTTCTATATTCCAAATTAATATTGGGTTTTTCCCCCTTTGGTTTTGTTGATGTGATTTTGATAATATTTGCTTTGAAATGATGTAAATCTGTTGAAAATTGGTTTTAATATTTCCGTCACAATCTCAAAACTAATGAAACTAAATCAAGAGGGTTAACTACAGGTATATATACCCAGCTGTAGTTTATAATCGACACATACATTTTGTATCAAACCATACAGCTATACATGCTTAATCTTAAAATTCAAATAGTTCGAAAAAAGGGAATTCACTCTGTGTAAATCTAGAACGTTTTTTGCTACAATTTTTCAAGAAAGAAAATAACATTGGAGAATTTGACCCAAGCTATTTTAATTACTTCCAACAAATCGTGTTTCCATCTAGTTTGAGCATACTTAAAAAGTAGTTCCGATTTATATGTTTTCAGACAACGAAATCGGAATAAAATATAAAATGAAAAGATTTTATACCCTGTAACAAAATAAATGAAAAAAAATCAACAAGGGCAATAACTCCTACGTGCTTAACGTATTAATGTTTGCCTTACCTCCCTTGATGTGGCCTTGACGTAGTGTATGTAAGGCTGATGGTGTTTGCACCAGTCATTGTCTCTTGTGTGAAACTCTGTCATGGCCAGTCGTATCAACCTTAGATTTAAACGAAATTATCAAGATATTTAAAAACAAATATTCTGTTCTTTTTCATCATATATTTTAGTTTACCGTCAAGTCTACTGACTAAAAAAAGAGAATAATGAATTGAAAAGAAATAACTTTATATCACTAGTCTTGCTATTTATAAAGACCGTAGACATATCCCAACGAAAAGCAATATTAACTGTTCCGTGTAACTCTTTTGATTTAACCCATCCTTCATATCTAGCCTCACAAAATAAACAAAGTTTATAAACACCAATGTATATGTCGAAGTTCAAAAATTGTTAATCATCAGGGGTAATTAAAACTATTACTGTCTGTTTGTTGTATTTTTGTTGAAAATACATGTGTATTTTAAATTGAAAATGCATGGCTAACATATTAATCCCATCATTTTCTATTCGCTGAGATTCATTACACAGCACGAGTCAGACATCTCCAACTACTGATCATGAGTCATGGTTATGTAATATAACGTTTTAAAACATTATTACACTAGCAGACAGTTAAGGAACCGCCTTATACAAAGCCTTTTTAACTTTTAAACATATTTGGATCAACATTGTTCGGTACTATATAAATCATTTCTCGTTCGTTTTGAAGCCACTGTTAATGTTTTAATATAAATTAATACAAGAAGTGCTTGTTAAGATAACTTTTCTCTCTCACTCTCTCTCTGTTCCCGTGGCATTTGTTGTTTCAGATTAAGAAAATATTTGATACTGTAAAAAGAATGTCGGAAAGTACGTTCTATGACAAATAAGAAAACTGGGATATGTTTCCTAACGAAGAAAGCTTACAGACTAGTGAACCCAGTTACCTCTTTTTGTTTCTTATCAGTATCGCTAGCACTAGTCTACCCATACACCACCAATAGGGCCAAACTTCAAACCTAGCTACACGTGTAGAGCACAGGAAACGCACGCGCATCACAGAACGAAGAGTAGACAAAGGATACAAAAGGGAGCGTTATAATTACCTAGTACATACCACACATGGTTATAAAAGCGATAATGGTAACGAAAGATTTGTAACATATACAAAAGCATTTTGAAACAATACAGAAAACACTTTGCACTTAAAAGAAATTAAGAAAATGACAATTTTCTTGTATACATAGTAACTATATTACCGCCATCATTTGCATATTTCATATAATAAATCATGTACGTTGTTCAATTTTTCAGATATACAATCTGAAACTGGCTGAAACTATTTTTTCTATTAGACTTATCATGTTTTATCATTTTTTCTTCTTTTTATCAAAAAGTATGTAATATCTTATACAAAAAGTAAAGTAAAAACTGAAACCAAAGGTAACTTCAGAACATAATCATCTTATTTCTATTTAGTGAACAGGGTCGATAGCCTGCAACCAGGTACCTTGACAATTGGTTAATTAAAGCGTCTGTTTAAATCCCAGTCTTGTCGACTGCATTTTCCTTTCCTGTTACGTCGATATGTGTAGCACATATTTGTCTCTTTTTTGTTTATTTTGAGCTTATAAAAACATAGATCTCGATGCATGTGTCACCACACTGTATGTATGTGTCACACTGAATGTAGGTGTCACAGTCCACATATATACATCGATGCACAGTGCAATGCACATATGCAACGCTTCTGAAGGTAAGACAGAAGTCCAGCGTGACGTTTATTAACGGGACCCTTACGATCATCTTACAATAAGTATATACACATCGAACATCTGAAATGTACACTGAAAAAATATATATCAGCTGACATAATGGAATCTGGAGAAGGTTGGCCCAATCATGTGTATCAGATCGCGATCGTATATATATAAGAGCTATGATGTGTTGTTTCAAGTTCGTAATAATAAACGTACTGATACAATGGTTTAACATCACGGTAGCTAGCTGTGAGCTGCTACGCCATTCCAGTCTACGCACACCAGTTATTTATTATATCATCATGTGTTGAAATCATGATTTGGAAACGTGACCATGCAGCTGTCAGAAATAATCGATAAAATTATGCAAGCTTTTACATTCAGTGAACTCACGTATTATAGCTTTGCTAAAGCACAACAATACAATGTGTTGCTCGTCACAAACGCAGACCTATCTCACACACGATGACATCGTGTGTATTTATATATATAAAAATGTGTGTATGGTGGATACCATTAGCAGCGTGATTCATACCGAAGAACCACAGTAGTGCACACAATCATTAAACTATACCTTGCCAGGATGTTTTCGTTCAAACTTTCGAACACCTTGATTCTCCATAACTTCAGTTTTTCCCATCCATTGTGTGTCTTCACCCACTCGTCCCCGTTCGATCTCCAATCACGTCCTAAAAACGGCATATTGTCCCAAATTATGTCTTATTCCATCTACGTTCGTCCTTTGTTTTGATTTTGCGCAACTGTTTACGTTTTGCAGGAAGTGTATCGGAATTCTTCGCGGAGATGACATTCTGGGTCGCTTATTGGCTAGTGAGAATATTAAGTCAAATTTGATTGGCTGGTTGTGTTTCGATGTTAATGCCACATGGCAGGTCACATGGTTTTGTTTACATCGATCAGCTGAGCGGTTGGAGAAGACTCCGCACGAAACTTATCTTCGCAGTTTCGTGCTATGGCGCATTTACATACCAAGGCAGTGGAATTATATAGCTTTTCTCAATGAATGGCATGAATTTGTATAAATGGGGCCGAGTGCACTATACATACACATGCAGATACATGCACATACATAGAAACTGGAATTGAGTGTAGTAGTAATATATATATCCTGATTTTTAGTTAATTGCAAATTAGTTTTAAAATTATGCAGAGCAATTTTAAATGTGTGTAAGATGTTCATGTCCATGCTAAAAGTCATCCTACAACAGTCAGAAAGACAAAAGACATCAGTATTTCTTCAAGATTCCGGTTTGCAGCCATTTTTTTCTGGTGACGGACCCTACTGTATTAATCAATAAAAACAGTTTGTATAACGCTTTGTTTTAATATTCGTTAGAGTCATAAAACAGGGTTATTCATTAGCGTCACTTTACAGAAGAATGTCCTTACACAAAACAAATATTCAAGTATGTATTTCCAGTTAAAAAAGAAAGACATTGTTTTGATCGTTTATGTCTTGTACATGTATACAATTCTGTGACAGATTTGTATGCAACGTACTAGTGATGGTTTTTCCAAACAGAATTAATATAAACGTGTACGGGAAATGAAATAAGCGTGAAATAGTATTTAAGCAGTGTAGCTATAAAACGATTAAAGGTATAGGGTCAACGCCTATGGAGATTTAACATTAGCGTCGGCCCCCGCTTTGAATTTCAAAACAAGATCAATCCAAAAAGGTATGGGTATAGAAAGCTTAAATCAGGAACATTTAGTTTAAGAATTCATTGATTGATAAATGGGACCTCATTAACTTACACCTGTGTGGATGTTAAAGTTTTGGTAACACAATTCCTCCTACAGCATTCAAATGACACAATTACTATAAAATTATATCATCATCGTGTGCAACGTATTCAAACTGTTTTTTAATACCGAGTATTAACACTATTTTAAGAAAGAATTGTTCTTTTTATTGAAGATTTAAGTTGAAAAAAATGTGAAATTTCATTACTAATACGATAAATTACATTTTTGACACGTTAATTTACATAGTTCTAAAACGAGTCTATTTTTTAAACTTGCTTAAAAGTTGGCTACCAATATTATCTTTTAACATCAGGAATTTCAAAAAAAATTAAGACCGGTTTGTCATATAACACCTTTGATTTAAAAAAGAAAAACATAGCATTCTTTCCACTTTTCCTTTAACTTGTTTTTTGTCATGACCAAAAGTGTTTAGGTCTTGTTAATTGGCATGTAGGTTGTTCATGTGAATGGATTTAAGTTTTGTAAATGTTGATGACCTTGACCTTCGTTCAAGGTCACAAAAATAAAATGTGCTAAAAAATATTTTTTTGTATGGAGATTCAGACAAGGATATCTTTCCTTGCTTTATTTGTTTATAGTTAACGATTTAAAACAATATTCCTTCATATTTTGTTTAATGAATGGGCAATAGGTAAAATAAAATAATAATGGAACTGTAAGCCAAAGGCTAAGTAATGCCCCCGCTCCTATATAAAAAAAGAAGTGTAACTAAGGCAAAGCATTGCAAAGCAATCCATAGTCTCCCTCCAGTAGTTATGTAAGTATATAAGTCGCTGACATACTTCCTGTACTCCTTCCCCATGCCAAAACATACTTGCAAAACAAATCTTGTTAGCCCAGATGAACCAGTTTTGCTGAAATCGTCCTAGTAGTAAAGGAAGAGTTGTCAAGACAAAGATTTTTAACAAAGGGCCATAACTCCTTAAAAAGGATCGAAATGAAAGAATAGTACCCTGGTGCACATCAGGAGGTAGTTACCATATCTGTGAGCTTCCAATAAAATAGGCCCAGTAGTTTTTTCAACAAAGGGCCATAACTCCTTTTAAAGAGTCGGAATGAAAACATACTACCTGGATGCACAATGTCTAATTGCATATCTTTGTCTATGACACAATCTCAACCTTAAGTAGTTCTCCAGAGGAAAGATTACTTTGGCAGAATACATGAGTTATTATTACTGCACATAACTTTAAAACATGCGTAAGTGTTTTGGTTTGATACAAAGACAGAAATTGTATCGGTATTTACCATAATAAACATTGATAATCAAATCTCCATGATTAAATGAAATTGGGCATTGATCATGTTTGGCATGCTAAAAAAGTACTTTACCGGTTTTGATAAAACATAAAAATTATTCTGTAGACAAAATATATATATATATAAAGTGTTTAAAGAAGTTTAAAATATAGACTACCATTGTAACTATATATAGCCAAGTTGACAATGCTGGTTATATTTTAAATTTTGTTAAAATTTTACATGTTTTTCGAATTAAAGTATCACTACGCTTACATCATGTATACCAATATGACATATTTAGTATCAAAATAACAGTAATTTAATATACTATACACTATCATAATTCATTTTCAAAATGACATTCATACCATATATCTGTCATTTTGTTAGGATACCCCCCGTCACTCAACCTGGTGTTATGCAAGGAGGTCCACTACGGTAATCGGTATTAATTATGAATAATCATTTATGCAGTTATTGATCATTTTTATGTATCTACATATGGTAAAAGACTAAATGAAATCAAAGTGGGGGTCAAATGTTGACCCCACCTTTAAGATATCATCGGAAGGTGCTAAGTTAAATACGTTATTTAATTTTAAATTCAATATCCGTTCACCTTCACCCCCTACCAATTCTTTGAAATATAACTAAAATACTATCTCGGACTTGAGCAAGGCTCTTATTAAACTGCCCTCATTATTAGGAGGCAGTACGAACGTTTCCTTTTATGTGAAGTCCATGGCATAATACGGTTTTGTAAGTTAGCGAAATACCTTAAGTACAAATGTATGTAATAATGTAATTGACGGGCTTCACGTCACTTTTATACATGTGGCATAAACGTGCTCCAGTATCATAAAGGTAATACAATGTATATGTATACATAGAAGACGTTGTTTCAGTAATATAGAAGTAAATTTAAATTATATATACGTTTGAGACGTGCTCAAGTGATGATAAAGTAATGATTGTATACACTATTAGACGTAGTTCCAGTAATAAAGAGATGTACGTTTTAGCCGTGCTCCAGTATTCGGTTGTGGCGGCTGCATTCCTTTATAAGAGCCTGATTGTAAACACGCTCACCTTGCCAAATAGATCTGCGCCGTACGTTTTACTTATAATAAAGGGAGAAGATGTATACAAGGCTATGCATATCGTGCAGGCTAAGTAATGTACCAAGAAGTTCGTCAAGCTAGAACCGTGTCTGGACTGGCAAACACCCAACTAATCAGTGGTGTATATTGTACGTAGAAAGTTTATTAACGACCTCGTGATAAGTCGACGGTGGGATGTGTGAGGATTGGTACAAAACGTGTCCATGATGACGACGTTGATGACACAACAATAGGACGTAAAACACAAATAAACCAAAAACCAAGGCTCAAATAAAATTTAGTACGCGACATTTTTGGAATATGTGTTTAGTGAACGTATGTGCAATCTGAAGGAGGTAAGGTCCTGGATAGTCAAACAACGCAATACCGTTATCCGTTTCGTTTTAAGACGGGCAAGTCCATTGTAGCTTTTCGTACATATATAGTTACCCCCTGTAATAGGACGACCTAATATACAGAAAGCAAAACAGTCGTTATTCTGCTCGGAAATGTATTTAAATGTGTCAAGGAAGAAGCTAGGTGTGACGTGTGTAGTTACCCATATCACGTGACGTGTCTGTGATAAAAAAAAAACATGAGAGTAAACATTAAGTTAACAATACTACACAAAAGTATAACTTTTAAAAGTGTTTAATTTGTATTCTGTATGCACAACGCCATGCAGCGTGTATGATATATCACACAACTCTGTAATTTCATTCAAACAACAGCAGACGTCACTTATGCACAGATATGAAAGGATAAACTTGAACTTGTAAACCTTTGTATCCATATGTAACAACGCATTTGCATTACATCTAGGTCAACAGTTAGGACCCTTATCGGGTCTAAAATACAGAGCTCGAGCACTATTCAAGGTCGGTCATCTACCGAGAACCGATAGGTGTTCTACCCGGCATACACACCACATCATTCTGGGGAAGCGGACACTTGTGCAGTCTTTTCGAAAAATATTGTGGTATATATACATAGGTAAGTCCTGTTTAAGATTTTTTTTACATTAAGTGATGAAGTATATTGTTTGTGCGATGGAAGTTGTTATGATATCAGGGTCTTGTACTGTGCAGTAAATTAAACAACAAGATGTCTGTCTAGATATTATGTACGTGTTGTAGATATTTTATACGGTTCACATTAATTAGCTGTCTTTTCAGCGCAAATACTACATGGCGCAGACGACAACTATCAAAATCATAATTTAATACAACATATAACACATTCTTTGAAACCTGTTATAAGAACTTAAAGCTATAATGTAGATTGAAAACACATTAGGTACAGGTGATCGGTGGATACAGGTGAAAAATGGGTACAGGTGAAAATGAATACATTTATACATAGATACAGATGAGGCAGATGAGTGGTGGATAGAGGCGAAATATCGATACAGGTGAGATATTGAAATAGGTAACACATGATATAGACGACATATTATTACAGGTAAGACATACATACAGGTAAGACATGATACAGACGACATATTGTTACAGGTAAGACATAGATACAGGTAAGACATGATACAGACGAGACA